CTGCCTCTACGTCACACATGTGACGTCGCCTGGAGGGGCTCCAAAGATGCCCCTCGGTGTGAGCGCGCGGCATTCAGTGATGCGCAGAGGACAGTGAAGTCAGCTCTCTGATCTTTACATTTACCCGCAGTTTGGTTGGTTTTTAATCGGCATGTGGGCGCGAGCTGTTTTGTGCGCGGCGCTGCTGTCGGTTCTGTGTCCGACCGGTTCTACGGAAGCCGAGAGGGAGGAGAGAGAAGTGCAGGACAATCGCTACAATTCCAACAGACTGGTGAGCTGAACGAAACCAGGAGCAACAAAAAGTTTATTGTTTTAATATTTTTTTATTTAATGTGCAGCTAAAGGCAAATCTATTGCAATAGTTTTCCTTTAATTACAACATGATTTTGAATAAGAAATAAGGAGAATCTCTTTGAAAATATATTAAATGGCCTTCTCTAATAACAATAAAACTTTTGATTTACATGTTCTTTTTTCTTCTTCACTATTTGCTCTCTCAGATAATCTTTATAAAACGTAAATATTAATCCTATCTCTACTTTTGTTACGTCTGTAAGAAAAAAAACACGGTTTAAAACCTTAAGCTGTTATATGAAAAGACTGGGGCTTAAATGTACATGTATTTCAATTCATTACGCTCAATGTAAACAACAAGATGACAGTAAAAATCTTCTTAATATTGATATCAGTTTGAAAATGTTTCTGGTATATCTTAGTGTAAAAATTAAAAATCTAAAATAAGTGAATATATAAAAAATCTTTATAAAGAGCTACAATGGAAATGCTGATTTTCATCTTTTTAAATGTGTGTGTATATATATATATATATATATATATATATATATATATATATATATATATATATTCTTTACATGCATCTGAATCCTTTTCTCCTCTGAGACCAATATTTCTAATCATAAAGTTAATTTTCTTCTCAGCTCGGAGCGCTGCATGAAGTCCTGGAGAAGCTGCAGACGAAGAGGATCAATCCGTGGGAGAAGAAGTATGGACAGGTCCCCTCTGTGAGTCTGCAGCTCCACTACATAAAACTGAAATATGATCCTAGAGTGGAAAAGCTCAGTTACAACTAGAACATCCTCAGAAAGAGGAGTCATTCTAAGAAAAAAAACATCCCTGCGTAAAAAAACTACATTTAAGGAGATTTTAAAGTCGTATAACCACATGAATATTGAAATAAATAAAGAAAAAATCAACAAATAATAGATGCTACACACCTTTTAGTTTCCAAGAAAGCAGGTCTAGCGTAAACATGCAATTACATCCTTTTACCTGCAGATGGTGCTAAAGCGCCCAGATTACAATTAAAACCCAGAGATTTTAGTTTTTTTTTTTTTTACTTTTTTTGTGTTATACAAAATATCTAGATTTAAAGACAAACATAGCTGCATAGAGTTCATTTCTTCAAGCCAGGATACATAGAAAATATAGTCAGAGGGAGCAACTCTTAATACAAATAGGAAATATACCTATATAACATTGACATGCTATAGAGGGTTGTTCACATAAACATTCAAATACATAAACCAAATAAATAAACAAAAAGAAAATTATGAGATAAAATAAAAGCAATTATAAGAAAGTATAACAGAACGGGAGAATTCAGCTTTTGTTTAGCTGTTTACTTTTTGTGCTTTTCCAGAATCTGATTTTATATATAGCTTAAACTTATTTTAAAAAACAAGTTTTTTTTCATTCATTTCTGAATGAAAAATTAACCAGACATACAATTGTATTAGTGCAGAGCTCCTCATCCTTACTTTGCAATAGACCAAACGTGACATCGTCTCTGGAGATAAAGTTTGGGAATGAAGATAGTCGTTTAATCCATCAATGTAAAGCACACCAAAATGTTTGCACCAGATTGAGCTTTTTATTGTGATTTCCTAAACAGATCAGTCCTTAACCCCTTTACAGGGCAAGTTACTGTTTTTTGATCACTTGCAAACTCCTTACAAATTGAGTCACCATCCCTGCATGACGTCTAGAAGCACAAGATCTATATCCAGCTATTCAGCAAAGATTCTGCTATGTGGCTGTACATCTTATTTTGGCATTTGACCCGTTAGACATAACCCTTCAATGATTTATTTACTGTAAAATTTTACAAGAAAACAGGTGAAAAGCTAAATGAAAAAAGGCAAACTTAAAAAAAATGTGCAACAGCATTAAACCTCAAAGGTTATACTGTTGTTTTCCCTAGTACCGTATATATATTAGAGCAAGTGGGCGTTTATTAACTTGAATGTTCCAAAAGCAATAAGCTCTTATCCTGTCCTCCAATAACACTCTTGGCTTGAAATCTGACTTTCAAAATATTTCACTGAGTGCCCTATAAAGGGTCCAACACAGTATGACGCAACATTGTGACAAATGTTTATACAACTACATCTTTTGACATCAAAATGTGGAGTTAAATATCCAAATCCTACTGTGGTGGATCTTAATCGCTCTGCCGTCAGTTTAAAGTTTTTAGAGGAAATTAAACCACTGGAGTAAAGTGGCATAGCTGAACAGGGAGGTTGTTTGGTTACATCCCACTGTGACAAAAAGCTCCTGTGCTCCTCCTGGTGAAGTAACCCAGGGTCCCCCTGGATCAGAAAGGTGTCTGGATAAATCAGATTCTTCATCTGTTGAGTTAAGAGCTGAATTAGGTCCCCAATTTCAATCTAATGATTCATTTGTATCATTTTCCCATATTAATACTATAAAGAGCTGCAATGCCATTAAAACCAAAGGCTTAAATCTACATATGTCCATTTGATGAAATCAACTAACAGCCACTATATACTGTCATTTAAATTGAAAACGGCCCTAAAGGAGATAGATCATGATTCCCTTCTCTGGATTAGAGGAAATTCCCTCAAATGTCGACTTTTTTTCTAAAGTCCATGTAGTTTCCTCTTGATTGATCCAGAGTTAAAACAGTTTGATGACGTCGATGACATTCGCTCTGAGTGGACTGAAACACGACACTGCGCTCAGATCTGCAGGACGTTCCTCGTTAATTGTGCGATCTTTGTCTTCCTCTGTCCAGTGTGACCTCGGCGAGCACTGCGCCATCAGGAAAGGATCTCGGATTGGGAAGATGTGCGACTGTCCCAGTGGAGCCTTCTGCAACTTCTTCCTGCTGAAGTGCTTATGAGCCAAAACCCAACAACCCAGTACATTTTAAAACTCTGTAAGAAAAAAACATCCAGGTTCTCTGTAAAGAGCCTCAGCTGTGGAATCCACGTTCTGAATTAAAGATGTTTTTGCTCTAAACTGGGAATCTTTTATTTCATAAACTCACCAACAACAAAAAAAATGTATATATATACACTATATTGCCAAAAGTATTTGCTCACCCATCCAAATTATTGGAATCAGGTGTTCCAATCACTTCCATGGCCACAGGTGTATAAATTCAAACACCTAGGCATGCAGACTGTTTTTACAAACATTTGTGAAAGAATGGGTCGCTCTCAGGAGCTCAGTGAATTCCAGCGTGGAACTGTGATAGGATGCCACCTGTGCAACAAATCCAGTCGTGAAATTTCCTCGCTCCTAAATATTCCGCAGTCAACTGTCAGCTGTATTATAAGAAAATGGAAGTGTTTGGGAACGACAGCAACTCAGCCACGAAGTGGTAGGCCACGTAAACTGACGGAGCGGGGTCAGCGGATGCTGAAGCGCATAGTGCGAAGAGGTCGCCAACTTTCTGCAGAGTCAATCACTACAGACCTCCAAACTTCATGTGGCCTTCAGATTAGCTCAAGAACAGTGCGCAGAGAGCTTCATGGAATGGGTTTCCATGGTCGAGCAGCTGCATCCAAGCCATACATCACCAAGTGCAATGCAAAGCGTCGGATGCGGTGGTGTAAAGCACGCCGCCACTGGACTCTAGAGCAGTGGAGATGCGTTCTCTGGAGTGACGAATCGCGCTTCTCCATCTGGCAATCTGATGGACGGGTCTGGGTTTGGCGGTTGCCAGGAGAACGGTACTTGTCTGACTGCATTGTGCCAAGTGTAAAGTTTGGTGGAGGGGGGATTATGGTGTGGGGTTGTTTTTCAGGAGCTGGGCTTGGCCCCTTAGTTCCAGTGAAAGGAACTCTGAATGCTTCAGCATACCAAGACATTTTGGACAATTCCATGCTCCCAACTTTGTGGGAACAGTTTGGAGCTGGCCCCTTCCTCTTCCAACATGACTGTGCACCAGTGCACAAAGCAAGGTCCATAAAGACATGGATGACAGAGTCTGGTGTGGATGAACTTGACTGGCCTGCACAGAGTCCTGACCTCAACCCGATAGAACACCTTTGGGATGAATTAGAGCGGAGACTGAGAGCCAGGCCTTCTCGTCCAACATCAGTGTGCGACCTCACAAATGCGCTTCTGGAAGAATGGTCAAAAATTCCCATAAACACACTCCTAAACCTTGTGGACAGCCTTCCCAGAAGAGTTGAAGCTGTTCTAGCTGCAAAGGGTGGACCGACGTCATATTGAACCCTATGGATTAGGAACGGGATGTCACTTAAGCTCATATGTGAGTCAAGGCAGGTGAGCAAATACTTTTGGCAATATAGTGTATATATATATATAAAAAAAAGATTCTACAAAAAAAAAAGCAATTATTTTTAAAATCTGAAGGCCTTAATAGAAATGCTGAAGCTGCCTGAGGACTCCAGTTTAAAGGAAATTAAAAGATCTGACAGGATTAAAGTCAAACTCCATCTAAATTTATTCAGTCAAACTTAATTTAAACATCAGAAATCAGCAGTCCTGCACAGCCCAGGCTTTTTGTCCCAAACGGATTTTATTAGGAAGAAAGTTTACACATGTCTACACGCCTCGGGGCTGCTTGAAGTTCATGCCGACGGGGGGCTGGGTGACCTGCAGGTTGGACAGACTGCCGAAGTCCTGCGGGACGAGAGAGAGAGAAGACGACAGGGGTGAGACCAGTGCAGGAGGAGGACAGCTGAGCGCTACTGTGGGACAGAATTTGTCTGAGAGCGTCAGGGTCTGAGAGGAAGCTGCGCTCCTTCAAACACGGGAAAGCTCTCAGCTTTATCTGCCTGTATTAATAATGACGGCAGCCACAGGGAGGCTGCCGTCACCTTTCGATACAGGGTGGAGGGAGGAGAAGCAGAGGAGGCGGCAGGAGTTACTGCTGATCTGATGGTGATCAGTTCTAACATCACAGCTTTGGCCTTAAAACAAGGCAGGAAACTTAATCTCACTAAATGTGGAGCTTTTTATAGCATTTAAATGTTCCTCATGGCTCACGGGGAGCAGCTGCTCCTCTAAGCTGGAAACGCCCTCCATGATAATATTTCCATGCAAGACAGAATTCAGTCTGAACGATTCTGAACTAAAAGGCAAACTTCATGTTCTGGATCATTAAGCTGCTGAGCACAGGAGGCCGACAACACGACAAGAAAGACAAGGCAGCCGTCTGTGGGGTGGATGAGGAGGGAGACAGGGCAGCCATGTTTTCTGATGAACCAATCTAAAACCGGCCTGTCCTTCAGATCTGGCGTCTCCCATCAAAAGATCAGAATCAGATCGATTCTGGTCACAGACACATTTGCTGTCATGTAAACATCACTTTGAAATCAGGCGTGTTAAATGCTGCAGGACTTTGGCCCACAAGGACCAGAGGCTGAAGGTTATCCTCCCACAGCAGCATGTCGCAGGAATCTTTCCTTTATGCCCAATTTTGAAGCCCAATATATTCCACACCACAACGCAAGAGGGACACTCAGGAACTAGCTGTGGGTCTAGATACGGCCGAGGCGGTGAGGAAGTGGGGGCAAGTTTGTGCGACAACGGAGGGACATGAGGGCGAAAAAGAGCGGGGATCCAGGTGGAAAAACGGTCCCAGCGTTCTCGCGCATCTCGCTCTTCTAGCTGGTCCATCTTCACGAGTCGTTTTCCACAATGGCGGTCAGACAAACAAAACAAGCCAGTAAGGTACCACACAGGAAATATGCATAGTGTAGAGCAGATGTAGATTTGACCAATCAGAGGCCTCCTGTCTGCGGTCACCTACAATTTTTGAGAATGGCAGCAGAGTGTCTGCGGAAGGGCGGGGGCATATTTACGGTCACTGCGACCAAAACACAGACAACCTGGTTTCTGAGTATAATCAGAAATACTATAATAATCCCAGAGGAAAATTACTTAAACAGCCGTTAATCCACTAGAATTAATAAGACAAATTACAGGATCAATAAACTCTGACCCCTGGCTGATGGCGTCAAACGTTGGAAAACTTCCATCCATCTGCTTCTCTTTATCCTTCAAACCAAACGTCTGCAGTGAGGTTTCCATGTTTAACTCTGAACCCACTGAACAAGGCTGCTCTAAACCAGTGCAGCTGAGCGTCCTCGTCAGAGAGCGCAGAGGACCGCTGCACGATTCTGAGATATCATTAATGAGCTCTGAAGCAAGCCGCCAATCCCTCGACGCCATCAAACACGCCGCATCATTAAACTTCTTACAGGAATGCCTCGTTCTTCCAGCTTTAATCTTCAGGTTAGCTGGAGCTAATCTGCGCTCGTTTGATTCTAATCTACAGCAGATCCAATCAGGCCCAGAACGTTCTAATGGCCAGGACAGTCTGAGGGTCAAAGCGAAGAAACCAAAGAGGCGTCGATACTCACCAGCAGCTTCAGCATCTCCTTGGTGTCGGGATCAACCTCGATGAGCTCCTGGTCCAGAGCAGACACCTGCACAGGTGAACAGAAAGCAGAGGGTCAGAGATTAAAGCCACAGGGAGACAGGCAGGATGTTTACAGGAACATTCCAACGCAAAACCAGGATCCAACAGAAATCCTCCCTCAGCACTGATTATATTATGATATATAGTTAGAAACGTCAAAACCGAAGTAAACTTTGTCTGGGAGCGCCAGGGTTCAAGAGGAACAGGAAGTCCTTGGAACACGGGAAATACTCACAGGTTGATGTACCTGTAGTATCAATGACCTGGCGACAGACACGCCATGATCACTTTCGATACAGGAGCCGCTAAACCGCATCAAAGGAGTGAGAGGATCCAGAGGTCACGAGACGGTTTTCACAATTATTACGATGTGACCCCTGCGCTACACACAACTATATCATTAAATACAGAAACGTAGATGTAGAATAAGGAGATTTATGATTTATTGAATAATGTGACACACTGAGAAATGAGTTAATGCCACATTACTTTAAAAAATAAAATTACAGTGATAAACTAATAAATGTATTTTACAAAGTAAATCTGTTATCAAGAGAAAATCACTTATAATAAAAGAGTGAAGTAATTCTATATATTTTAGGAGTTTAACAGATATTTTTGGAGTCAAAAGCAGAAATGTTTGGGAAGCATCGATATAGCTAACCATTAGATTAACAAATTAGTTAACTGTTTTGAGAAGAGAGGAAAATAATAGGGGGGAGAACAAGAGGATAGAGGAGCCAGGAGTAGGATGGGGAGAGAGGACAAAGATGGAGGAAAGAAGGCCAAAGAAATGAGTGGATAAAAGCAGCAAAATAAAGCGTTGCTGTGGAAAGATGAAGCAGCATCACTGAGATGGAAGAACTAAAGGAAGCAGGGCAGGTAAGATGGGAGGGAATTTAGTCCCTGAGATACTAAATTAAACTGTTAAAGGTTAATTTCAAACCCATCTATATTTATCAGCCATGGAAAACACGGAAAGGCGATTCTATTCTATTCCAGACTGGGTAGAAACCATGAAGCCCAAAGGAAGCAAAGTTCACTTCATCTCGTTCCGTCAGAATCAAACTTGTTTGAATCAAAGATCCAGTCATTTGGTTCTGACACAGCAGAACATATTCCCATACATGCTTTGTTTTTTCATAATGACTCCATAAAATACCCCAAAACAAGCCGTCCACTTTTCAAGTATCTCAAATTGAAAAGTCACTTTAAAAGCGAGATGAGTTCAGGTTAGTCTCAGTCGAAGAGACGGAACTCTTCTTCAATTTCAAATCTAAATCAAAGCTCATCTAAAACTCAACGAAGAAGCCCTTTTCTCTCTAAAAGATGGCCGACATCTTTCTGAGCCCACAGCAACATTCCTCTGATCCTTCTCTTCATCCAGAAACCAAACATCATCCTGTCTAACGATGCGTTCACTGACCTCAGGGACGTAGTTGTCTCTCCTCTCTCTCTCCTCCTCCTGCAGCTTGATGGAGATTCCTCTGACTGGACCTCTCTGGATCCTCTTCATCAGATGCGTCACATAGCTTCAGGAGCAAACACCAACATTAGGTTTTCGTCTTTAACCTCTCAGCTCAGCATCCCTCTCAGCCCCCCCACAGACTCACCCGGCTATCTTGTTGCGGAGCTTTTTGCTCGGGATGATGGCGATCTCCTCACACACCCTCTTGTTGGTGTGGAAGTCGTTTCCCAGCCGGGTGTAGTATTTCTCGATGATGACCCTGGCGGCCTTCTTCACCGTCTTGGTCCTGACTCGTCCCTGCAGGTGCAAACATTTCACACCGATCAGCACGTAGTTACAACTGAATTTAAGGAGAACAGTGAGAACCATTGTTGTTTTCTGTGGAACATTGTAGGACATGGTCACTGGTCAACGGGACACACTGTCCCACATCTATTGGACTAGAAGGTCCTCAGTCCTTCCTGGTTCCGAGGAGACAATCGTTTGATTCAGGTGTGCTGAGGCAGGAAAGCAGATCCCGAGGACCACTACATGTTCTCTGGGTTCTGGATTATTCCTCCACATTTTGAAGCCATCATTTACCGTTTTTTGAAGGCTGATGATCTCATAGCATTTCTAGACTCCTACCTGCAGAGCTTAAGCAGAGCCAGACTAGAACACCGCCCCCTACAGGCGGAACTTTTAGCAAAAGGCATGATGGGAGCATCTCTTCCTGATACTTTGATCTACTCAAGTCATTGGAAAATTTATTATTTCAAAAATGATGCATCCTCTTTAACGAGACGGTTGAACAAGTTAAATTAACATATACATGTCAAGGCTCAGATTAGATGAGTCTCAGGTAATGGCTCTGGCTGCATCTAAGGGTTGGTTTCAGCGGAGAACCGGGAACATTTCCTCCGTAACACCGCCGCAGGTCCGGCCCGCCCTCCGGTTAGCCTGTCCGGGGACTGTTAAAACCCTCCAGCATTAATTCAGCCACAGTTTAACCACATTATAGAACCAATTTATATACAATACTTACAAATCGATTCCTGCTGCCTGTTCTCTAGCTAAGGGACCGGAATCTGAGCAGAGCTCATTCAGACCCGCAGCGGCTCGGTAATTTGACATTATAACGTTTAAATTTACTAATCTGTGATCAATATTAGGGTCACTCGCTAACTTTAACAGTATAGAGTTTGCATATAAAGCTGGCGGGTTAAATAAAGTGATAAAACAGGAGGATTAGTTGGGATAAAAATGAAAGACACGAAAATTTCACCCACCATGTTGGAGCGGCCTGGTAGAAGAGACCGAGGAGACTTCCGGTGGAAGTTTAAAAACAACGACGGGTATTTAACCACAGCGCCACGCCGAGGCTAAAGGCTGCAATTACAAAAACAGTAAAACACTGTCTAAAATATATAAAATCAGCCAGTGATTTATATGGAATAGGATTAGGGCCACTGAAAAAACAACTGATTTTTAAATATTATATGGGAAAGAAGTCGGAATTCTGACTTTAATCTCAGAATTCTGACTTTTTCTGAAATTCTTACTTTTTCTCTGAATTCTAACTTTAATCTGGCCCTCCCAAACAACTAACATCTTTGTCAGTGAAGCTGAGTGTTTCTCTTCATTCATGGTGCTACATTAAGATCCACAATTCTGAGATTATAGTCAGAATTCTGAGAAGAAAAGTCAGAATTCTGACTTTTTTCCCCACATTAAACTGAAAAGATACGTTAAAAATCTATTAACTTTTTTTTTTTTTCCCATTGGCCCTAATCCCCTTTCCATAGATTTGCTTATATTCAAACCTTTATTTTTAAGACAAAAGAAAAAAAAAAGAGAAGAAAAAGACTAGAAAAGGTCCGGAATCTGAAACAGTAGTGCTCCAGGAACGACCTGCTGCTCATCCTAAACAGGAAAAGCAGTGGCGGTTCTAGACCAAATGTACTAGGGGGCCAGGAGGTGGCCAGCGTGTCTTCATGGGGGCACAGAAAAGCATGAAATAAAAAAAACAGGGCAAGGTATTCAAATATATATTAAGGGGAACGCTGTTTTTTTTAACATTTGGCCCTTGATTTTACGTTATTACATCATGTTCTACTTACCCATATGAGTTTTGTGTCATTTGGAGCCGTTCTGAAGATATTCCATTAGGTTATATCCAAGTAACGTCTTCCTATGGCCGCGTTTCTCAAAGTGTGTGGCGCGACCCACTGGTGGGGAATTGAGACGTGACAGGTGGGGCGCGCCAAGTTCCGGTGTGTGTGTGTGTGTGACTATAAATTTAGAACGTGTGAGAGCAAACTGTCCTTATAGCTGTATGTTGCCGCTTTTTAGACCAATCAAACCCACAAAGTAATCATTACTAGCCTACATGCAGTCTAATTAAAAGAACATTAGATATGAGAAAAATTTCACCTGGAACTGAAGTGCCAAAATAATGATTGACGTGACGTCGGCATATTATTTGTAACGGAATAAACTTTCGCGCCCCAGTGTTGCCAACTCAGCGACTTTGTCGCTATATTTCAGACCCCTCCAGCGACTCTTTATCAAAAAAGCGACTAGCGACAAATTAGCGACTTTTGGAGACTCTTATGTGAAAGCAAGTTTATCGTTCCTTTTCTTTTCCTCCAGCGGCAGGTGCTGCCGTGGGGCGCCTCCCCCATCCCAACCCCGTTCTCCCCCGCTATCGCAGGAGTCCCTCTCAGCGCTGCAGTCAGAGACGCAGCATGTTTACCCTCAGCGTCCAGACTGCAAATAAAGCGCACATGCGCCGGGATTGGCGGCGCAGGTTGATCATAATTAACTGAATTTGAAATATTTTATCTTAAATAAATGACGTCTGACTCCACCCTGAAGCTCAGGTTTAATGCTCAGACTAATAGTGAATTCTGGTTTGGAGTGGAGAGGGAGTATCCACTCATCGGGCAGAGAGCTGTGTGCATTCTTCTTCCCTTTGCCACATCATATCTCTGTGAGATGGGCTTTTCTACGCTGAAAACAAAATACAGATCTCAGCTGAACATTGAGCATGACTTGAGAGTGGCAGTATCAAGCCTGCAACCCCGTCTTGAGAAACTGTGCAATGCAAAACAGGCTCATTGCAGCCACTAATGCAGGGATAAATAGACCTGTATTGCCAGATGGATTTCACTTCTTTTCTTTTATTAACAGATTGCAGAGTGGCACTTTAATTTTTTCTATCTTTGAGCTTGATACAAATTTTGACACAGCTGCATTTTTATTTTCTTTATTTTTGAGCTTGCTGTTATTTGATGTAGATAGTTTGTATTTAGATACTACTTGTTACTTCAATAAAATTGGAACATTTTAAGATTGTTGCATATTTCATTAGCATTGTGTTGGGGCGATGGGGACAGGCGGGGCTTGAAAATTCCCCCTTGTCCAAAGTGGGGAATGACAGAAAAAGTTTGAGAACCACTGCCCTATGGGCAACGACTTGAAGGCACAAACTAAACTGTTGATAATTTATTCTTTATGGTACGCCATCATTCATAACATGTAGGCGAATCACTGTCCCCCAGACATCCACGGTTATATTTTTTTAAAACAAAGCGGAGTGTGTATGACGTCATCCGTGCGCCGGATTGGAGTTGTGATAGGCTGCCCGTGCCACACCCTCTACCCCATATATTCATTCGGTTAGCTAATCTGAATCGTTCAATTCCATTTCAAGAGCGAGATCATCTGTGGTAGTAGCACTAGACATCTTCCAGGCATGTGAGGAAAACTAGCAGCAGTTCAGCGGACAGGATGAATGAATGGTAGCCGAAACTGTAACTATACAGTCATATGTTTACATTACTGTTTTATATCAAATTTTTTTTTTTATCACTGCTGCTTTAAAGGCTGCACTTTAAAAAATGAAATAGTCTAGAGAGCTGTTCTTAACAAAATTTCTAAGTTCTAAGTAAATCTGTCTAAGTCATTTGTTCTTGGATTGAGGAGGTAAAAGAGACATTTTGCCAATGGATCAAGACAATTTACACTTATAAGAAAACACCATTGCATTGTCTTATTTCGAGTGCATTTTATCTAATTATCTTATTTTAAGTGTAAAAACACTTATTCCATTGACAAACTATCTAATTTACCTACTCAAATTAAAGTACACTTAATTTAAGAAATGTTATTTCTAGATGGTTTTTCCAGTGCACTGGTAGGTGTAAATGGGGACGAGCACGTAGGACGACCTTACGTAAACATATCACCAGAATGATTGACAGTTAGGAGGACCACTTACTTTGATGATCCAACCAGAAAAAGAACATCCTTCACTATACCTTTAATTAAAAAGCTAAAGGAACAAAAAAAGCAGATTTAACCACTGCTGGTGTCCAGTAAAGATGTCAAAATACATCTAAAAGAACCCCATACATTAGAGTTTATTCCAAAGGTTATCAAGCAATAACAGTATGGCAGTAAGGTAGACATGTGACCTTGAATGGATTGAAACATGTTGATTTTGTTCACCTTTACAAAAGGATGAGAAAATAAAGCGATTTTTCCTTTTCTTTAATTTTCCATTTTGCTTTGAAAGCACCACAGTAATCTGCTGCTCATGTGGTTCAATTTATTGAGTGTAAAACAGTTCTACAAAACAAATTCACTGCATCACTGCCCTTTCGGTCAGTTAACATACATTCTGTGGCTTTCTCTTAAAGGGACAGTCCAATATTTCAGGATAAGTGCATGATTTACAGTTTCTGGCTCTAAGTGACCTATGAAGCTTATTTAGACTCTAAAGCTAAAATTAAAAACCTGAACAACCCTGTGATTTAGTTTCCTTTACAATCATCCAAACCACAAGTTTCCCTGATTTTAGCCTCAACCCCTTTAAACCTGATGCTTTTTTTTTCTTGTTCAAGTTATTTGACCTTTAAACGCACCTTGTTACACACATTATAGTGAACCATAATCATAAAATACAAAAATCACTTCTGAATGAAGGACACACAGATCCCCTTTAGAGCAAATACCCAAATGAACAAAAGGTTATGTTGGTAGTTTACATTCTGATTTGAAGACTGAAACATAAAAAAGAAAGAAATCAGAGCAGAAGTCCATTTATGTGTCTCACAAACCCTACAGATGCTTTTATCAAATTGGTTCCATCATTTACTGATGGGTCCAATGTTTGCTGGTTTGTACAGGATTTCTCTGAAGTCACCTCATTGTGGGGAATTTAATTTAGGAAGATAATCCTATCTGTGGGAAGAAGGCGCCATCTCTGCTTTCACAGGTTTTCCAGAAGGCAAGATTACGCCAGAAGCTTCATACCAGATGCTCTGATCAGCAGCTGGTGGAGCACGCTGTGCGATGACCACAAGGCAGGTCAGAAAGACGTCAGTGAGGATCCAGGAGGAACAGCCGTTTCTGGTCATTAATTTGACAAGGATGATGAAATTTCCAAATCGTGTGAGGTAAATTATTCTATAGAGAGAAAACGATACATTTAAGACTACAGCCAATCACGTAAAGACTTGATGTCTCTTTAATTTTTTTCTGATCATCAAATCCCAGGGAGCGGCAGCCACCAAGTTCACCATGAACTCCTCCGTATGGGAGGGTTAACCCTAACCCAACCAAAAACCGTGAGGCCAACAGCTGAAGCTTGGTGATGGACATGAACGTGGCCTCAAACAGCCACACATCTGAGGCAGAAAGGCTGAAAAACAAATGAATAAAGGCATTACAAAGGCCTAGTTAAACTCAACCTGATGGAGTCTCTGCAAACCTCTGAGAACTGATCCAACGCTGGGAAGAGATTTGGGTCAAATTTTCCACAGCTGTAAGTCAGAGAAAATACAAAAATCACTGCCGAGTTCTTCCTGAAGGGGGCGCTTCAACCAGCTGCTGGATCAACGGGTGGACTCAGGTTTTTACACACCTGGAAATATGGTTGTTTTTCTAGTCCCAGTGAAGGCAAGAGGATTACTATAAGACATAGAACCTGGATAATTTCTGGATCAGGAGCCTAAAACCAGGCCCTGCTGGATCTGATGCATCATCTAACAATCTTAACATGATCTCATCTTCCTAAAATAGTTATGAAAGGAAAAAAATGAAGGAAAAGAGGATTTTCCAGAAGCCATCCTCAGCTGCCATTTGACCCTGTTTCTCCTGATTCAATCATCAAAAAGTGCTAGCTTAAAGGTGTGCATATTGTGTGACATCGCTAAAGAAGACGACTGGTCGTCATGGTGATGGCAGACGCACCAGCACATCCACATAGTTGACAGGAAGAAGCCCGGATCGGCCCCCAAGGCTCCCCTGGTACCAGTTGGAGTCGACCTGGCCGGTGAGGAGGATGATGTCTCCCCTGCTGAAGTCCAGCTCGCCCTCCCGGTTCGGCATGAAGGAGTAGAGCGCCCGGCAGCAGGGCTGATCCACAACAGGCTGAGAGTCGGCTGAGAGGAGGGACAGAAAGCCGGATATCAGATTTAGGAAAACTCCAGAAGCTGGATTTAAATCTAAACTGGGCTTAAGACGCCGCTGCTCTGAATGTCCTGCTCACCGCAGCTGGAGATGGGGCTCCCAGGTCCAGATGGTACCACTGTTAAATTTCCTCCTGAAAACAGAAATATGTTTGACATCTTCCAGGTTCCACTGTGAGCCACATGACTCCTTAATCCATCAGGAGTCATAATCTTATGGCTAATTGGTCAATTTTAACACATCCAACCACCAACGCTTCATCTGCTCTGGATGTTAGTTTGGACTGTGGGAGGAAGGAGGAGCAGCCCGAGGGTTCTGGTCAGATAAGAGCCTTAACCCAGGGGGTCAGAGGGCAGGCCGAGGGCCAATGGTGGTCCTCATTATGAATATATCCGGTGTTCTGTCAGCTCAGCATACCGCATCAGGCCAGCATACCCTTAGTAATACGAATTACATAGAGTTTCCTCTGTCTCTGCTCTCCTTACATCCAAGCGCGCTGTTTTATTTCGCGATTTAATCAGGTTTTTGTCATAGTTTGTGTATAAAACAACAAAATCATTCACTGGGTTCGTTACACACATTAGGTTAAAAACAAACATTGCATGTCAGTCAGACGAAGATCTTATTAAAGAATGATCGGCATTTTTTCACATAGAATTAAATATTTATAGGGAGAGGATTCTACAACCCAGTTGACAGGATATGAGATTTATTATTTTTTAGTTAGTTTAATATGAGCGAAATGCAGATCGTTATTTTTTTATTTTTTTATTTTTATAGGACATTAAGATACTGAAATTATTTTTTGATTACACAAAAACAGATTAATCAATTCTGCAGGGGGAGAGGAATGACTTGATAACGACCTACTGAGCCCACTGGCACAATCTGAAGCAATTCTATGGGACTGATAACCTCTAATAACGATCAAGCGTGTGCATGATTGTTATTAGAGGTTATCAGGGTACGCTGGCCTGACGGAGTATGCTGAGCTGACACAACAACAGCCCCACGATTTAAGAGCAGCAGATATCTGATCCACTGGCACTGATTTGATCTTTGAGAGATGTATCTTTTTTTTTTAAATAAGAGCTTTATTATTTTTTACTAAAAACTGACATTTTCCTTCCATGGAAAAATTAGATTTTCACGTTTGAATGATCATATCTTCAATAGTACACCCAAAACATGATTAGCCTTCATTTTCTACTCACCCCCATGCTGAACAACACTCTGGAGTACTTTTTTGATATCTCAAATGCATCTGGAGATCTGGGAGGCTTCTTGCTGTCTGCTGACATTCAAATAATGGAGGTCTATGGCGCCCGAGACAGAAAGGTCCATAAAAGTCCACAAAAAACGTGTCAATATTCCTCCATACTGCTCGTCCAATGTATTCCAAGTGTCCTGAGTGGGTAGCGTCCAGAATTTACTCGAAACGAAGTCATTTAGAATGTTTTTAGAGCATAAACAGTAGTGTATAGGATTTCCTGAAATCACACACTATTTAGTTGGGCCTCCTTTGGCCTGTATTACTGCAGCAATGCGGCGTGGCATGGAGTCGATCAGTCTGTGGCACTGCTCAGGTGTTATGATAGCCCAGGTTGCTCTAATAGTGGCTTTTAGCTCTTCTGAATTGTTGGGTCTGGTGTATTGCATCTTCTTCACAATACCCCATAGATTTTCTATGGGGTTAAGGTCAGGAGAGTTTGCTGGCCAATTAAGAACAGGGATACCATGGTCCTTCAACCAGGTACTGGTAGCTTTGGCACTGTGTGCAGGTGCCAAGTCCTGTTGGAAAATGAAATCTGCATCTCCAAAAAGTTGGTCAGCTGCAGGAAGCATGAAGTGCTCTAAAACTTCCTGGTATGTGGCTGCGTTGACCCTGGACCTCAGAAAACACAATGGACCAACACCAGCAGATGACATGGCACCCCAAACCATCACTGACTGTGGAAACTTTACACTGGACTTCAAGCAACGTGGATGAAGTGCCTCTCTTCTTTTCCTCCAGACTCTGGGACCTTGATTTCCAAAGGAAATGCAAAATTTACTTTCATCAGAGAACATGACTTTGGACCACTCACCAGCAGTCCAGTCCTGTTTCTCTTTAGCCCAGGCAAGACGCTTCTGACGCTGTCTGTGGTTCAAGAGTGGCTTGACACAAGGAATGCGACAGCAGAAACCCATGTCTTTCATACGTCTGTGTGTGGTGGTTCTTGAAGCACTCACTCCAGCTGCAGTCCACTCTTTGTGAATCTCCCCCACATTTTTGAATGGGTTTTGTTTCACAATCCTCTCCAGGGTGCGGTTATCTCTCTTGCTTGTACACTTTTTTCGACCACATCTTTTCCTTCCCTTCGCCTCTCTATTAATGTGCTTGGACACTGAGCTCTGTGAACAGCCAGCCTCTTTAGCGATGACCTTTTGTGTCTTGCCCTCCTTGTGCAAGGTGTCGATGGTCGTCTTTTGGACAACTGTCAAGTCAGCAGTCTTCCCCATGATTGTGTAGCCTATAGAACTAGACTGAAAGACCATTTAAAGGCTTTTGCAGGTGGTTTGAGTTAATTAGCTGATTAGAGTGTGGCACCAGGGGCCATCAATTTTGAACCTTTTCACAATATTCTAATTTTCTGATATGATGAATTTGAGATTTTCATTTGTTGTCATTTGTAATCATCAAAATTAAACAAAATAAACATCTGAAATATATGAGTTTGTATGTAATGTATGAATATAATATACAAGTTTCACTTTTTAAATGGAATTACTGAAATCAATCTACTTTTTCATCATATTCTAATTTTATGACCAGCACCTGTAAATTCAGCCAATCATATGGTCATATGGTCATCTGTCAATCACATTTTTTCAGTCATAGCATCTTGATTCATATGTCGCAGCTAAAATATGCAAGGGTTGAAACAAGAAATAAGAATCCTTTCCTTTCCCATTGAGTTCCGTCCCAGTGTTCACGGGGATGGACGTCTGTGTCTTCAGCAGGCGTAGAGCTAACAGAACTGGCAGCGTTGCGAGGCGAGGGCTCAAACATGTACGACTGGAAGCCTTCTACACCAAACCAAGCTTCTGCCGCCCTGGCGTTCTCTTTCACAACATCTTCATCCCCGCTTTCCTCCTCTAAATAAAAAATGTGTGACGGAGGAGACTCATCCACGACCTCCGACACTAAACTCTCCTCCTCTTGCATGTTTCCGCTGTCCATAGCGTTCCTTGACAGTGTCGTTTCTAAGTCACCAATTTCGTGCTACTTGGTCCCAATGGAATTTCCCATTGGGAACCTACTAGCACTAAGTTGCTAACTGGTTAGCAAGATGCTTCCGACAAACCGGCCACAACCAAACTTGCTTGCAAACCTTCCGCCACAACAATCCCGCCCCCTTGATAAACGACCAATGACATTCACTTTATTCACTTGTGTAAAGTTGGGCACCACTTGGGATAATTCGGAAATGTAGTGATTGGAACAGCTGCTTCCCTATGACTTTAACAGGAGCTGCAGACTAATAGTGGATGTAAATATTTGCGTTAAACTATAAACTAGATTTCCTACAAGTCTCACTTTACTCAACACAAATATGGACGCTAATGTTAGCTTAGCTGATACAAAGTTAAACATTTAACATTAATTATTTTAGAGCACATTGCTAATGCTGTCAGTAGTACTAAACTAATTAATGAACTCTTCAATTAATCAATGTTTAACTTTTTGAGAGGACAGTGATTAGCCGGAAGATGTTTTGCTAGCATTACTAGTCAAAGAGTACTGCGTGAAGAAGATGCGCTTCCTGAAAGGCAGCCAATCACAGGCAGTGGAAACGATCCTCAAACTAACCATAGTTGTCACACCCAGCAGAAACATTTGAGTAGGAGAGAGGCTACAGGTGCGAAGAGAGCAAGAGAAGAGGCAAAGACTCATGAGACATATCAGGTCTGGTGGTGCTGAAACATTTCAAATGTGAGCGGAGAATAGTTAATGTTTTAAATGAAACTGCATGTGAGTTTGACCCAATCCCAAACCGGTCCCTAAACACTAGCCCTAAACCCTAACCCTCTGTTTGCGGGTTCCCGCGGAGGGAACGTCACATTAAGGGCTGTCCCAAACCACGTAGTTGGTAGGGCGAGTGGAGCGTTCAGCCCTTAAATAGTGAGTGTGGATCAGTGAGGAATTTGGTTGCAGGTGTAACAGCGAACTGGTTGCGGAGGAAAAACGTGCATTGAAATGTAAGTTCCGCCGGTCTGCTTCATCACACTCACAGAAAATCACAATATAGGGATAAGAAAAAAGATATAATTAATCCCTAAATGGAAGGTCCTCTTTGAAATTGTTTTATTTGATCCCCTTCAGAGGGAGATCGTCAGACCTCATACAGTCCGGGTCGGACAGAACACCTCTGCTGTCATCACCATAAACACAGGCTACCCTCAGGGCTGCGTCCCCACGGACAATAACGAAAGCAAGTTTGTGCGAAAACGGAGGGAAATGAGGGTGAAAATGTTCTCGCGCACCTCGCTCTTCTAGCTGGTCCATCTTCACGAGTCGTTTTCCACAATGGCGGTCACACAAACAAAACAAGCCGGTAAGGTACCAAACAGGAAATACGTATAGTGTAGAGAGGATGCAAATTTGACCAATCAGAGGCCTCCTGTCTGCAGTCAACCTACAATTTGGGAGAGGTGCGGAGTGTGTGCGGAAGGGGCGGGGGCACATTTTCGTTTACTACGACACACACGCAGGCGACCTGGTTTTGAAGTATAAATCAGCCTTTAGATGTTAGGGGAGAGTTTGAGATTCAGCCTATTTATTGGGTCCGTTCCGATATTTCTGACTTCACACAAGTTCAGATGTTTGTTGGCCTGTGAGCTGGATGCTGGTCGGGCCTCTCCATGGACCCGGTACCTGGGTTTGGCTGCAGGAACTCTGTGGTTCTGGACAGGAGTTCAGCCAGCAGCAGGTTGATAACTGCGATCGTCTAATGAAAGCACACAGAGGGAAATTCATTCAGTCTCTCTGCTCTGAGGAGGGATTGCAGCGCAAATGTGTCGTGCTGCGTTCACCTTCTCCATCTTCAGGAAATCTTCATCCAGTTTGGTTCCTTCGGCTCCCATCAGGCGCTCGTTCAGGAGCTGCAGACGGAAATGTGTCGAAACAAATCAGAGCTTTAAAAAAGTTAGAAAAAATCTCATCCGTAACTTGTCTTAAATTTATTTATAAGAAAAAAACAAACACATATATTCAGCGTCTTTGCTGACATGTTTCCAATACTATAGAAACAGGAAATAAATCCGAAGCTTGATGAAGAGACTGGTATTAAAAAGCTTCCTTTGCTTCCACCAGTAAGACTTTGTTAAACCATTAAGGAACACTAGAAGCTGCACAAATCTGCCAACCTTCCTAAACAAGGGTTTTGTGAACTTGGGAAATAAGATGTACACATCTGTAGAGAAGATCTGTGTTTGAGGTTTGTGCATTTTGTGTGTCTTTGTATTGTTGTGTACCCCAGGCTGTGAAGCACAAGCCTGCAATAATAAACAAATAAACTGCAGAGTTCATTAATGGCTGCAGGCTGGTTACTTTTCAGGACAGAGAGGCTGGTAGAGCTGAGGTCCTTATAACTTAGAGCTTTCTGGGACGTCAGCCAGCATCTAGTTTCTTACTTTTATGCACTGAGGTGTCTTGGTTGTTATTATTTTGGAATCCTTAAATGGTTATAGTGATCCACCCATCCATTTTCATCCATTTTCCGCTTTATCTGGGGCCGGGTTGCGGAGGCAGCAGTCTAAGGACAGATGCCCAGAGTTCCTGCTCCACACACACTTCCCCTAGCAGCTCTGGCGGCGACCCCGAATCGACACCAGGCCAGCTCAGAGACCCTCCAGCAAGTCCTGAGCCTTCCATGAGGCATCCGGAACAGATGCCAGAGCCCCTTCAGCTGGTTCCTTTCCTCCTTTTAGCTCCTGAGCAGCTTATTGATATTGACAGAAAATTATTAAACCAATTAGGGATGCAACTAAAGATTATTTTGCAAACAGATTAATCTGTTGATTCTTTTTCCCGATTTATCAATTAATAAACGGATAGCAAAAGGTTCCTTAAAGAATGCTTTCTACAAAATCAAAACAGATGAAACTAAAAGCTTTCCACTTGAGGAGGCTAGATAGAGCAGATTGACAGAACAAAAGTATTTTATTCAGCTTAAAGGCAAAATGGTCATATTCTTGTTTACAATCTAGATCAAATTACTGCGCTAAGTGGGTTGCTCTTTCAGCAAGAGGCATATTTTACAGTCTCTTTACTCCAGTTAATGAATAATCAATTACTAAATTAGTTCACGATTATTTCAATAATGGATTAATCTGATATTTTTCAGCCCTAAAATCAATGCAGGAAGAAAAGAATCAGAAATGCTAAACAGATGAAGCCTTCAACCCCAAACAGAGCAGCTTTGTTTACATTTTTTGTTAGAATCAGGAAAACCTTTCAGTTAATTATGCGTAATTCTGCAGATGAGCTCATTGTTATTTATAAGCAGTTTCATTTTCATTTTTATTTTGATGAATGAGTTCAGATCCTTCAGAGGAAAAGTGCATTAAGCCTTTTTAAATTTGCAGCAGAATATTAAATCAATATTCATCTAACTCTGCCTTCTGTAGAGTGTCATTAAAGCAACTTACATCATGTTTCATAGCTTTCATCTCTTCATGGGACAGCTTGTACAACAGTGGAAATTTGTTTTGGACTTTAAATAACTCAACACAGCCATATTTGACTAAACGGCGGTTTGACTTATTTTAAGGGGGAATAAATTTAAACAGTGGGACATATCTTCACTGTTAACTTGAATGATTTACAGCCTATTGTGACCGTCTCAGGGATGTATTTACTTTAGTGAGACACTGGGTCAACAGTCAGGCCTAATAACCTGATTTATAGAATCAGTTTCCTGCTTCTTATTGGTGGAGCTTTTAAGTGGAACAAGTGATGGGTTAATGAGGCACCTTGAAGTGTTTTGACACATTGCCAAACTGTATTGATACTGCATTGATTCTGTCTCACAGAATACTGACACCTGCTGGACCTTTAAAGACACTACAGGCAGCTGATTTGACACAATAAACTGAATTGAATTTAAATATGTAATACAATGATATAATTTAAATTTATAGTAGGTTAAATTATATTATTTCATATATGTGCTTAAATTGAAAATATCTTTGATATTTTTAGATGCAGCCTGTAATGGCGATTGTTTGTCAAACCAAACATCCAATAAAGTTCCAATAAGCCACTACTTAGGCACTGGGGTCACGTTTTCTTTATGCAGGCAAAAGAAGCTGAAGTTTAAACTTGTAGATGTTCAGTTGATTTATTTCCTATATTTTAGCAACATTATAGAGTTCAAACATTCCCTTGCTCTGTCACCTGTCTTGCACTGGTTAAAAAAAAACCATAGGCCCCTAACCCAAATGCCTGCTGGTCCTTACCAGGCTCCTACAATTATAAAAAGTGGACCGCACACATTTCTTCCTGTTTTACATAAGAAAGAAAGAAAAATGATAAAACAACAAAAAATAAATACACAAATTCAAAAATTAACCTATAAATAAAGTCTGTAAATAATACAAAAAATATATAAATTTAAGAATAAAATAACAAAGTTCAAATGGACAAAGTTATAAAGAAAAATAGCTCCAACACAGCCAATAAATAATGTAAATATATATTATAATGTGAAAATTTAGGTGGGAAATGTGAATGAGGATGCTTTTGGATCAGGATTTTAAATCATAATTTTAAAACAATATTGCACAATTGCGCAAAACATTTTGATTGGTCTGGACAGCTTACTAAAGTAATTATAGCGGGGTGTAGGTTTTATTCGAAAGCGGGATTGCTGTTTGTAAACGGACAATTTTACGAAGACATTCTCCATGGTCCCTGCGCCTTCTGATGACGTCACCGAATTCGCCATGGGCCTTGCGCCTCCCGATGACGTGACATTATGGCAATGCCACTCAAACAAACTACATTGAGCCCGCGGTCTGCATTTGTAACGAGAATAAATTCAGGAGAATGAAGCTAAAGGGATACAAAAAATAAACTTGTAATATTACAAAACCAAAAATACTACGAATACAAAGTATATTCAGAGATTAAAGTCCCTCTGATACTGTTTAAGTGACTGAGAAACTGCAGATTTGCCACATTTAAGATGGCGGACGCTCTGACGCATCTCAAAAGGCGCAGGCCCCCGAGTCAATCTGGCAGCCCGAGTCAATCTGGTACCTACACCGGCTGTAAAATATTGGCCCATAGTGATACCATCTGTTTTAAATTGATGTTTGTGTACAGCATACTACCTAGATGTAAAATAAGTACCATCATGGCTTTGTCAAGCTGCTGCCAGTATCGGAGCCCCGCCCCATACTGGTATCGGTATTGGTGCAACACCAGTAAAAACAGTAAATAAGCCAAGGGTCGATTTGAAATTAATTTAAATTCAGATAAGTTGCTTGATAACTAAGAGGAAAATGATGACACAACAAGAAAATTTAAATAAAAATGCAAAGGCTGAAGTGTAAATTCTTGATAATTTTAATGATAAACTGCAAAAGATGAGATTTTTTTTTTTCTTTAGCAGATGCATCCCATTGACAGTAGCGTTTTTAAACACAGTTTAGTGAGTTAGAAACAGCTCCTGTATCGGTCATATGACTTTCTTACCGATCTAGTGTTTAGCTCTATGGGATCCACGCAGGTACCCACGCATCGGTGCTGCGGGACCCATCATCAGGTGGAACATCTCCAGCAGGCCTGGTTTCGCAGCGAAGCCTCGCTGGACGGACGGCCCAGATACCAAAGCACCACCACAGGTAACCTGCTTTGGTTCGGTTCTTACCTGACTGGCTTTGTGGAGCTGCTTTTTCATTCCGGAGACGGACATGTTGACTGCTGCAGGCCGGCCGGCCGGGCTCCAGGCAGCCTGCAGCCCGTCTGAGATGCTTTCTGGCCCCGCAGGGTGTCTGTCTCCACGGCAACCTGTCCACACCTCTTCAACCAGAACAGGACCGGAAATGAGGACCGGAAGCAGAACACTGTAACACCGCCAATCATCAAGAAGTCTGCAGAGGAGGAACCTGACAGGTTCAATTATTATAATCTGTCAAAGAACAGAGAGGTTCTGGTTATTAAACTTAAACACATCATCCATAGACCTTCAGGTTACAGCCTAAAAGTATGGAAGTGAAACAGTGTCACTGAAATCTGCCTTTTTTTGTACACCGAATTTTAGGAACAGATTTTTTACACATTGAATTCCTAACACTGAATTTTGATCTGGTGAAAATTCATTTTCAATTTCAGCTGCAAAAAATGTCTGTGCAAAAAAATCAGCAGCAAAAAAATATTGCCTGCAAAACATTCTGCTGCAAGAAATTCTGCTGCAAAAAAAATTCTGCTGCAAAAAATCAGCTGCAAAAAAATTCATCTGCAAAAACATCGCCTGCAAAAAATGTGCCTGCAAAAAATTCGGCTCTTCTTAATACAAATATTATTCATAATCAAGTTTAATGAACTGGTAATCAGTTTGCTTCTAGAAATATAATAATATGTCTAATACTGGTTTATTGTCTTGTTTTTTTTTTAATAATATGATTTTAACTGATGTTGCTCATTTATGTTATTCTACACCATACATTCTACCAAGTTTTTAATTTACTAGTTTTTTTATGTCTTAGAATAAATTATTATTAGAAAGAAATTTTATTGTTTACCTGGAATTATTTTTCCTCAGTATTACATAAAAAATGTTCACTGAACTTTCAAATTTGTTTTAATTTCGAGTTGCGTTTTTATTTTGAGATTTTATTTCACTTGTTTTAAAAGAACAAAGATTAAGGTTTCGTTTCTTATGTTTTTAATCAGGTCTTTCTATCTGTCTAATTATAACATGCAAATATTATTGTATGTTTTTAGATTTTATTTTGTCAAATATAATTAGACTATTTATAATTTCCGCTAACTTTTATTGTATTTCTTTTCTGTAATTGGTTTGAGTTTTCATTATTTGACTTTTCTTTTTCGTTTTATTTCCATTATTAAAGTTTTCCTCGTTGACTAACATCTAGCTTGGAACTTCAGTTCCCATAAGTCATAGCGAAACCTCTGCGTCACATGACTCTTCACCAACGTCCCAAATCAACATGGCTGCTGACTTAAGCAGCGAAGATTTCACAAACTTGCAGCTTCTTTTAAAGGTAAATAAACGCGAATTTCTCATGTTTTTAAATCATACTCAATGAAAAATAAGTCATAATCTTTTATTTGTTGTTAAATAAATATTTATCAATATAATTAAATGGATTTATCGGCTATTTACGTGTTTTAATCTGCTCTTTGCGATCAGATGATTAAAGATAATTAGGACGGAAAGTTTGACACATTGATATCAACTGTATCTTTAAAATATTCCATTTTATTTAAGTTTATTTATTGTGGTTTTAACATTTTATGGTGTTATCCGCCTGTTTGAATCTAAGGCAGCAGCTCTGTCCTCCTCCTTGTTTTTAATTTTTATGTCTTGTCTGTATTTTTTGTTTCAGGCTCCATCTAAAGATTCAGTGAGAGATGTGTGCGTTCAGAGCCACAGAGGTGTGAGCAGGAGGCTGACAGAGAATACAGCAGCTACATTCAGCATCCCTGCAGGACAGGCTGCTCAGGTAAATAACACAAACACTGGCAGCTCAGACCTGCTGTGAGTCAAGGCTGTAACTTAATGATGAAAACTATTGGGGGCCCTCTAAGGGTGGGGGCTGATGGACCTACAGTTATTCCACCTGAACACTTTCATAGGTTTTTGTATTTTCCAAAAATGAGCTTAAACACATATTTATCGAATGCTTTCCTATTGTTGAGAACCAAAATATACTGATATTTATATTTATAGATAGTTAGAGAGATGCCTTTTAGTGCATTTTATATATATAGTGCCCAAAAACATTAATGGATAAAAAAATAACGAATAGCAGCCGATCCGATGCCAAATTCATGCATCCCTAGAAGTACGTAAGTTGCAATTCCGTCCATCCATCCAGAAAAATATGGATATGCTGCATTTTAAATATAGCATAGCAGATTTTTTCTTGTAAAATTTCTGGTAAACTTGGAGATATATTTTATTGCGTGTTGCATATCTCAGTAAATCTTGTTACCCCTGCAGCTCTCCCTACTTCTCTCTGTTTAAAAAGATTTATGAACCTCTTTATTAGTATAATGATGTCAAAAAACAACATTTCAAGATATGTAGAAGCTCTGCGGTTTGATTCTGTCTGTACATTAAGAAAACGTGTTCATTTTAACCTGTAACTGGGAGTCATGGTCCTCTGAGAAGCCAAGCTTTTTTTTTAACTGGTAAAGAAGAACAAACTTTGTTTTCTCAAGCTTCTTTCATTATAATACTAACTTGCATAAACTTACAATTTGTTGCCATTTTTAGCTAAAAAATCTTCATATGTCAAACAAACAGATTCTTCAGTGGTATGATTTTTTTTAACCAACCCGTTTCCTAACTTTTACTTAGACCTCAAAGTAGCTGCTGGTTGATATTCACGGCATGCTGCTGTGTGTCTGTCCTCCAACCATGTAGCTCCTCTGTCTGCAGTGAAATGAGACAGCCAATCAGATGGCTCAAAGCAACAGATCTGATGATGTTAGACACAGAGGCGGGACACGGGGTGGCGAGAGAGAGGGGGAAAAAAACAGACTCAAAAGGCTCTGAACACTGATAGCTGCACCCAATGATTGGAAAGGGGAAAAAGCAGAAATTATTGGTGAGGACTGTCCCCTCCATGTCAAGTTGGTGGGGACATGTCCACGCCAGTCCTTCAGAAAGTTACACCTGTGCTGTAATATGCAATTCATCAGTTATGACGCAGGATGCTCAATGCAAACACAAAATCGGATAATCTCTGAGCTCTGACTTAGAAAGATTCACCCCTTATTAGGAGCTAAACTTTACACTACCAGTAGAGGATTTTAACTCTATGCAGATAAAAGATATCTGCATCCAAGGTGTTTTTTTGTTAATAATTAAATAAACTTCTTCTCAGATCTTCTACTGTCCTCAGTTCTGCTGTATGCATTCTGACCCAAACCTGTGCTTTCGATTGTAGCTAAACCAGTCCCTCCACACGCTGTCTCACCACATCCTCTTCTACAACCTGACGTCCCCGGAGCAGATCCTCGCAGTCTTTCCAGAGTCGTTCCACTCCAGCCTGAAGAACCTGATCACTAAGATCCTGCTGGAGAACAGGTCAGCCTTATGAGAACAGCCCTGAGGCAGCGTTCCTCCTCAGTCTTTAAAGGAATAGTACACCCAAAACATGATTATCCTTCATTTTCTACTCACCCCCATGCTGAACAACACTCTGGAGTACTTTTTTGATATCTCAAATGCATCTGGAGATCTGGGAGGCTTCTTGCTGTCTGCTGACAAAGGTCCATAAAAGTCCACAAAAAACGTGTCAATATTCCTCCATACTGCTCGTCCAATGTATTCCAAGAGTCCTGAGTGGGTAGCGTCCATAATTTACTCGAAACGAAGTCATTTAGAATGTTTTTAGAGCATAAACAGTAGTGTATAGGATTTCCTGAAAGCGCGCACATGCGCGATCACGACGCTATGGAAGCCGGCAGACCAAACCAGATGAAAGTGCGCATTCAGCGTCTGCTCTGCCGATAATGCAAGCGTAGAAGAAGAAATGTGCTGTTTACCTGTGCAAAGAAAGAAACAACGAAAGAAAAATGTCTGAGGACTTCAGTGTTGAGGAAGAGCATGAGTTCTTTGCCGAGCTGAATGCGCACTTTCATCCGGTTTGGTCTGCCGCGGTTTCTGTAGACTCGTGAACGCGCTTTTAGGAAGTCCTATACACTACTGTTTATGCTCTAAAAACATTCTAAATGACTTCGTTTCGAGTAAATTCTGGATGCTACCCACTCAGGACACTTGGAATACATTGGACGAGCAGTATGGAGGAATATTGACACGTTTTTTGTGGACTTTTATGGACCTTTCTGCCTCGGGCGCCATAGACCTCCATTATTTGAATGTCAGCAGACAGCAAGAAGCCTCCCAGATCTCCAGATGCATTTGAGATATCAAAAAAGTACTCCAGGGTGTTGTTCAGCATGGGGGTGAGTAGAAAATGAAGGCTAATCATGTTTTGGGTGTACTATTCCTTTAAAGGTTTGATTATTTTCCAGGTCTGGATAAGGATAAAAAAAAAAAAAAGAGAAAACATCCTGGGGATGTTTCTTGATTTCATACATTTTGTCCACATCACATTTTCCTAAAGCAGAAACATCAAGAATGCTGAGTGAAAACAGCAGCTTCTTATTGGTGTATAATAATTTCACATGTTTTAATTAGCTAAATCACACAGTGATGCTTTTGAAACTGAATGAATACACACAGATCCATTTAAATAACCTTTAAATTCAGGGTTTGGTTTAGCTCTAAATACCGAATAAAGAACAATTCAAAATTTTCACATGTTGAAACCTAAACAAACCAAATAAAAGATACCAGAGTTTAGACATATAAACCCAGCCTCTGTTTAGATACACCGTCTGTTGTTGGAGGTCAAGAATTAAATGTTATAAATGAAGCTGATTTAAATTAGCAACAAAAAAAAAACATTAAATGACTCTTTATCACAGTCAAGGTTTAAACTTTATTTTTAAATACCCAGAGTGTCATTAAATCTGCAGCCTAGAAAGGTTTGATACTTTATTTTTAACGTGTTGGAACCTGCTGTGTCCCGCTGCTCTGGGTAGCATTAGTTTAACTTTTTTTAGTGCTAGCCAGGAGCAACACATATCAGTGTATAACGTTATCTAAAGATATCAGTTATTCTCACATGATCATGAATTAAATTAGAGATTAACTCAGGGTTATGACCTCATCATGTTTCCTGTTGATTTTCAGCCCAGCGTGGAGGACAGAAGCTCTAAGTCATCAGGGTGAGTAGACTTCTATTTACCGTCTGTGTGAGAACAGCTGATCTTTAAAGCTTCTGGCTCTCGTCTCTGTTAAAAGAGTCCAGGAACCAGGAGACTCTGATGCATCAGTTGTGGAGGAGCTCTGCTGAACCTTCCAAGCAGACGGCTTTATTTGGCCTTCAATAGGAGCTGCAGCGTTGCTGCTTCCTAAGTCATTATCTGTAGGGATGCAAAGCACTGATGTAAAAGTTTGGGTCGACATCCCATAATAAAGTTGCCATCATGGCTGTTAACTAGCATGTACTCATGCATCCGTACCCTTTTGCTTCTCTGCTTTAGATAAACTCCCACAATCCCCTGCAATGACAACCACATGACCAAACCCTGCATGACCAATCGGCTCCTCTCCCCAGAAACTGGGTGGAAATTAACCTTGTTCGTATCGGCGCAGTTTTTCTTATCAGACCGATAATTTTTTTTTTTTATGAGCGCCGTTGGCAGATAACGATGTAGATGTGGATATATCAAGCATCCCTGATCGTGTTTATCCAAATGAAAGAGTGCCTATTTGAATACAGACCGAATGAATGTTTTTGTCTGCAGTCTCCCTCCCTCAGCTAAAGGAGCTGGACTGGAGAGTTGACTTGGTGACTGGTTCTGACTCAGTGAGTCGGATGGCGGTGCCAACCTGCTTGGTTCAGCTGAAGGTGAGAACCTGAAAGGTTACCTGCAGATGTTGCCTTTCCTCACGCTGAGCCTGAGCTCCTGAGTCCACCTTTTTTCTTCTCAGATGGAGGATCCGTGTCCGACAGCAGGTGGGGATTCTGTCTCCACGGTTACAGTGGAGCTGGGCAGGGAGTCGCTGGACACCATACTGGACGGACTGGGGCGCATCAGAGACCAGCTGTCTGTGGTGGCTGGGAAGTAAGGCGGTTCTCTACAGCTTTGTCCTCTGGTGCCTGTTTGGACTAAAAGTTTTCAGCTGTAGGTGGTTTACACCAAAAAATGAGGATGATGTTATTTTTCTCCACATGGGTCCAGTAGGCTGATTGTTCTGATTATTTTTATTATTATTAATGAATGAGAGCAAAAACCTTCTGCTCCTCTTTATCTGTAGATTGTTGTTAGACCACGATTTCTTAAAATCATTGTTTCACATACTGTATTTTTGTCTTTTATTCCACTCTAACATAATTTGTTTGCAAAAGTAATTTGTTTCTGTTTGTACTGATATGAAAATAAACTAATAACACAGTCAGTCTCTTTTATCCACTCCTGTTTGAATGTATTTTGATTCAGTTGAGGCTTCAGATAAACCCTACACCTCCTGATCTCAGGGTGTTCACATTGAAGTTGGATCACATTTATATTATGTTCAGGCTATTTATTTATTGACTTTATGGCACAAAACAGATTTAATCTATAAAGATTTGGTAATTTTGCAATCATCCAGCTTTCATACCTTCTTATTCTTGTAAGGTTGGGGAAGAAGTTGGGGTCTGGTTTCTTTGCTTCTGTCTTTTGGCAAATGACATCAAGCAGACCATTACAGGGTCACTGATATAATCAGGGCAAACAAGTTATGATTCTTGGGATTACTGGGACTCTTAAGCCAGTTCAGTGAACATTGTCTCCTTTTAAAGGGGAATTTCTCAGTTTCATCAGATGTTGTTTTTTTTTTTATTATTATACAGCAGGAAATTTTTAAACAGATATTATTTAAAAAGTTAAAATTTTTATTTTTTATCTATTCATTATATAGGATGAAGGAGCATAGTGAAACTATTTCTTGTGTGGATTGGTACAGATATTAGATTTATTTAAAATAAATGTAGTAAAAAGAACCTGGAGCTCCCCCTGCTGGACAGAAAAGGTACAGTCCACTGCGCGCGCTCCCGCCGCAGCACCCTTTGAGCGGGAAACGGTGGAGTTGAAGCTGGTTAATCACCTTGCTAAGTGTAGGTTAATTTATTTAAACAAGCGAGCGTAAGGAAACCGTCTTAATTAACCTTGTAATTAGAGCCCCGTTTAAATCTTTACTCGAAGGCATTTTGTATGCCTATTTGGAGCTTTTATTAGCCTGGGTTAACATTAGTTTTCGTGAAACAATTCGGAATTTTTCCACTCTCCGAAATTTTCAAAATGGCGACAGCAAGAAGGCAGCTGAATAAAAAGCGAATGGACGATAAAACGGAGAAAAATGCTTATGATTTTACCCCAGAAGATGAAAAAAAGGAGTTGAGCGGGTCAGACGATGATGTGAGAGAAGGTAAGCTAGCTGACTCGGACTGAAGATGGTGTCTGATTCAGACCTTGTGTAAAACCAGAAGGACTTCTATTTAATAACTCTGAAATGGTGCAAGCTAATTAAAGGTAACGAAAGAGATGTCATTTTTCATTCGATGGATTTACATTATACTTTGGGATTTTAATCATTTATCAATATTTCGGGCAAAGTAAGAACCCTTATCATGCTTTATCTGAAATATACAATTAAAAACTTAATTAAAAGTGTTAGAAATACATAAATTAAATACTATATATATATATATTTGTTCATTTTCAGATTGAACATCATAACCTGAACAGTAAAAGCTGAACTGCTTTTAAATACCAAATAACCAAACTGATATTCCTTAATGGGTGATATCCACTATTAACTGACATTTTTTAAAATGCATTTTTCTTCTATTCGTGACACCATGGAAAAATATTAGGGCCAGACTAAGAGAAAAATAATAATGACAATAAAGTCAAAGTATTTCAACTTAATTATCCTAATATTACAATAATAAAGTCAATGTGTTTTGAGAATAAAGTTATGATAGAATAAAGACATCTGATTATTAGTTCTTTCACAAAATAAATCTTCAAACATTATCTGATCAGCACAAACTACCAAACGGCAATCTGAGCACAGTTTGTATACAAAATAATAATTTGATGCTGATGGACTAAAAGGTATAACAAAGGTATAAGTATAACAAGAGACAGAAAGCTGTGTATAGCTTTGTAAAATTCGCAACAGTCTTAATTTAATTTCTGTTCCAAATAAACTTCCCACAATTCTGTCCTGTATTACGGTTTAAGTCATTTTTTGCAAGAAATGCCTGGTAATACGACAACGAAACCTCAAAATGATGGATTTAAACAGAGATTGTTAACGGTCCAGATTGTTATCGGCCCAGTTTAAGTTATGGGACTGATGCTCACATCTTAAAACAATGGCCAACATTGGCTGATTGAGACCCTGATGTCAGTATATAGAAGTATTTAAAGACAAAAGGTTTAATCTTAGAATAACCCAGAAAACGCTTTATCTGATTGGAAAGTAGGACTGAAACAATGTGCTGGTGAAGATTCTCAGTCATCCAGGTCATAGTCATTTCAAAAAAATTATAAAACAATCCACTGGACTTTGTTTCCAAGTTTCAAGACGTTTCACTTCCCATCCAGGAAGCTTTTTCAATTTAAAATGACAGAAATAGCATTAAATTCGAGGCTACTGTTTGGGCTACTGTATATAGCCTCGGATTCAACACTATTTCTGTCATTTTGAATTGTAAATACTTCCTGGATGGGAGACGAAAGGTCTTCAAACTTGGAAACAAAGTCCAGTGGATTGTTTTTTAACTTTTTTGTTTACTGGATTAATCAAGATTGATTATTAAAATAATTGTCAACTAAATTGGTTGTTAGGGTTAGGGTTAGGGTTTGAGACTGTAATATATGTAATACATGAATTTAACTGACAGAGAATCCCACTTAGAGCAGCAGATATACCAAAACCAAAAAATTATATATAAATATTTTGCATGCAAGATTTAAATAAATTTTTTCGTATGTCATTTTTATCCAGAACTCACAAGTGGAAAAGTTTTAGTTTTGCTAGTTTTAATTCTGTTAAAAGGAACCTTTTGCTATCCGATTATTTATTGAATAATAAAAAAAATGATCGACAGATTAATCAATTTGCAAAATAATTGCTAGTTGCAGCCCTATTGAAAATGTTCTGCTGTCTCATTTGTTTCAGTTTCATCTTGCGTAACTCTTAAACAAGTCTGGCTTTGTGTCAAAATAAACCTGAAATTGCATGAATAATGGAAAGAAAATGGGTTTAAAGTGGTCCTAAGTTAAGGGTTGTAATTGAACGTTACTTCGACATCATTGACTTTAGAAAAACATACTGGATCCCTGATGTAGACAATGTTTGACTCAGTTGTCAATGTAAATCCTTCAACAGGTCGAGATTTTTAAAGGAAACAGTCGTTATTCTGGTTGTTGAGGTTCTGCACCATATTTAGAAAAGTTTTGGACACCTGCTTTGGATGATCCAACTGATAGCACCCAAGATGCAACACATTTCTTCCTACTGATGATACAGAAGGCATATCCCTGGCAGGCGATGTCTAGTGTGTATAAAAAACATTGTCCTCATTGTTCAGGGCTCTTCTTCATTCTTCTCTCATCTTATTTCCAGGTAAAAGCCTCGCCGCTGACCTCCGTAACCGTTTCTCTGGCTTGTTTACATCAAAGTGTCCAGTCTTATCTTCCACCTTCTCCTAAAATGATGTTATAATTGCACTGTGATAACTCTGTGGTTAAAAGGAGGTTGTCTTAACAATATATTCAAAGTTTTACAGGTTTTCATGTGTGTGAAGTCGACTAAAGCTGCCGTGACATCTGATGGAAATGCATACTGATTCAGACTAAATACCTGATTCCTGTTTTTGTCCAAAGATGAAACTCCGATTGTTGACAAGCTGACAAAGAAGAGGCCTGCATCCAATTTCGATGAGGAGGCGACAGCGTGTGGCATGGGGTACTTTATTCATTACATCAGTCTACTGCACACAGTAACCTAATGTTTGTAACAAGTTATTAATATTATAATTAAATATCAAGTTATTTATACTAGTTAAAGGTACAGAAAGTACATGTCTGAGTGTCTTAACTCCTTAGATTCACTTCAAAACAGATTCCAGCTTCTATATTAAATTATTAATGGTTTGATGATAGATTTGACTCTAATCATAATCAACTAATTTTCAAAAAAGTATGCAATCACAAAAGGGTTGTGTGAATTGATAAAATTTGTTACGGCTGAGCGGATCTTTTCTTAGATAAAGGTTTGGTTCGGACGTTGCCAGTGGTTTCAATGCTCGCTGTGCCCAGGGGTACGTTTCAGGAAGCAGATTTAGCAGATTCAGACTCAAACCGCAACTCTAAATTGGTTTAGCCCAAGCTCGGGAACTCTGTATTCAGTTTCACAAAAGCTGATACCAATTAGTTCAATAAATTTGAACTAGGTCCACTCAGAGTTAAGTGCGTGGGCAACAAGTTTAAAAAGCCATAATCAGTGAAGTCACCATGGCTTCAGAAAGTGAATATTTCAGCCCACTGGAACTAGAGATTTTAATGCAGAAATGCAAAAAAAAATAAAAACAAAAAAGGGGAGGATGTGTTTAAAAGACAGAGAAACAGCAGCTACTGCTACAAAGGAGTGGAAGGTGGCGAAGGAGAAGATTGTTGCTCCAGTTAATGCGTAAGTTTATATGAAGTGGGCTATGGCAGGCCGTTTTTGCATTTATTAAAAGCACTCCACTCTGGTGCTCCATTTGTAGATCAATAAAATAAGATTATTCCTGATCTAAATCACTAAACCTAGCTGTAACAATATATTTTCTGAAATACATTTTTGTTGTAGAAATTGAATTTTAGAAAGTAAAAAAAAAAAAAAAAAACTAAATTATAATAGAAAGAATAAAGTTTTATACATAGATAAATGTTTGCAAATTTTAAGTGTCCTTTCTGAATTTTATCAGCTTTATGATATCTGAAAAACATTTATTCAGTTAAAATAATATAAATGCTGACCACTGATAAGAGGAATGTGGAGATCTGAAATTAATTTCTAGACATCCAGAATGTTTATTCTAGATGTGGAGAATTTAGTTTGAAATGGTCATTTATACAAAGAAAAAAATGTTTTTTCAGATATCAGGAATACATGTTCAGTAAAACAAATGCATATCTAAACGGCTGCAGCGTTTGTTACCGTGGAAAAACCTGCTTCTGTCCAGGTTAGCTCTGTGGAGAATGTTACTACAGCGACTGAAACAGGTTGAGGAAACTGGCCATTTCTCAATATGTGTACTTGTGCGTTATCGTGTGCTTGTGAAACATCGTCATCCTCAGCCCTAATATTGTTCCAATTCACAAGATCAGCAGACCGAGAACGGACAGAGTCCCCGGATGCTTTTCTCTTCCCCCCCTCTTTACCCAGCGTGCATCAGAGCAGACCTGTCTATTGTTGAGATTGACAGCTGTCCCAGCATGCACTGCAGCAGCAGCAGCTTTCAATGGAGCGCTCACAGAGCTCAGAGTATGAAGTTAAATGTTCTCTTTCTGTTGCTGTTCAATAAAAGTACGTTTTAAGATAATTTGAGGCGAGAATATTATACTTTAAAGGGTCACTATATGGTCCATTTACCGATTTAATACGTAATTTAAAAAAAATAATTTCAGAAGTTGAGAGGACCGCAGCAACCAGCGGAGCTCCGAGGGTAATGAGCCAGGGCTAACCGCCGCCCGTCTGCAGCAACCCTCTCTCTGCATAGCCATGAGTGAAGGACCATTGCCTCGGATGGCGTTTTGTTTTATTTGGCAAAATGTTTATTTGATTTGGGTTTATCTTACTATGTTAACAATTAAATGAAAAAAGTCTAAATTAATTATTATCTAGAGACTATTAATAAATGTAGCTCCAGACGAGCAGAGCATGTGGTGACGTCAGGAGTACGCTTCTGTTCCAATTGACCCATATTTATGCTGTATGCTCACTTCTCCCAGAGTTCTTATTTTCCAGTGTTTTTTCTCAAGAACATAATTGGTGAGGACATGAGTCCGTACTCGCGTTCTAGTGAATTGAGAAACGGCTTCTCTTTGTGAACCGGAAGAGTCAGTTTCCTTGTTTTCAGGTTTAGACAACTTAGAGTTTTCTGTAAACGTGCTTCGTGATCGGACCCCAGGTAAAAAAAAAAGAAAAAAAGAAGGGCTGAGGTCTGTCTTGATTAACTATGGATAAGAAGTGGAACATAAATCCATTATTTAAAAAAAAAAAACACCCCAAGTCAAACTAGATCAGTGAGATATGACTGAGAGGGACAAATAAGAAACCGATAATTTACATTGTCTGTCAGCTTGTAGCTTTAAAAAATAGCTTTTAATGTTTTTTTGTTTATCCAACAATTTAAAAAAAGGTTATATTGGAGGATTTTCATGGCTCATCATAAAAACGTTCAGAAGTTTGTACAGGATTCTGTTTTGGGCTTTTTTTGGCAGTTTCTCTAAAGCTTTTATAATGTTTACACTGATATTAGAGTTATATCCTATTGACTGGTTTGTTTAACATGAAATTTATGTTTGTTTTTCCACATTCAGAAATGAAGTCCAGTCTATGTTGGAGAAATTTGGCGGTAAGATGATGTTTTTCTTGGTAAATCTTTGCTTAGACTGAATAATAAATAAATTGAGCCAAATTATATTGATGATATGTCACGGGGAAATGTTTATGATGAACATCTGTACAGTTAAATAACAGTGTGTAATCCACAGATCCAGAAAAAGAAATTCATTTTTGTCAATTTGATTTATGTCTGAGTTATTAATTTGTAGAGATAATCATAAACATACAGGAATTCATTCTCATTTTAAATCCTTCTAAAAATGGATTTAAAACATGTTCGCCTCACAAGACTTTCCCTTAAATTAGGGTCCTGTAATCTTACATCGACGTATTATAAATATAATCACAGCGGCTTAATACAAGTTAGAAGAGCAGAGGAAACATGAAAACATTTCCTTTGCTCAACCAGCTTTTATTCCACATGAGTCCCTCTCGGTTTCTACTAACAGTGAATTCAGCTTTTCATTGCTGCATATTTAGCTACGCTATTGTCTAGTTACAGTTGTGCTTGAAAGTTTACAGACCCTTCCATTAAGGACCCATAAAATGAGCTGCCAGTCAAATACAAAAAATGATTAAAGGAAATCATGACATTAATTTTAAACATACATATGTATACTAGGTCTGCAACTAACAATTATTTTGCTAATCGATTAATATGTTGATTATTTATTCGATTAATAACCAGATAGCAAAGGTTCCTCAAAGCAGATTTTTTTCAAATTTCTAAACATCCGCTCTAACCCTTAAATCCCTCAATCGCTATATACAGCGGGGACTATTAATCATAATAATAATAATACTTTGGACTTGTAATGCATAGGGATGGAACGGTTTATGAAAACCTTCAGAACCGTTCGGTTCGACTGTCTTGTTTCGCTTTGCGTGTGTTTTGGTCGGTTCATGCGCTGCTCCTTTTTCTCATAGGCGTCTCAAAGCGTTTACACTCCAGAGCAGAAGGTGGCGGTACCGCGACCAAAGCCAACCACCAGTAGTAAACAAGAAGAAGAAGAAGCGAAGCAGCATAACCGGGTGTAGCAGAAAAAAATCAGATGATGTGGAGAATTGTGTGGGTATGGCGAGTGGGAAAGAACAGGAGTTGGAAGACGCGCCAGCAGCACTTTATAGGTCTGCTGTATGGGACCACTTTGCATTTAGATTGACCCACGATGACGGCGGAAAGAAAGCTGTGGATAAAAGTGCAAGAGTGTGCAAGCATTGTGCAACACGTTTTGTTTATGCTAACAGCAACATGACCAACATGTCATGCTAACCCCGAAATCCCTCATACTCCGTCAGCGCTCCACTCCGCCCCGCTGCGCTCCAGACCGGCTGCTCAAAGCAAAGCCTACAGCCTCCACTGTGGCTGCCGTCCGCTCCCCTCTGAGTCCCTTGGTGATTGTAGAGGGCATGCGCAAAATCATTAAATTCAAAGCAGCAAAACATGTGGAAATGAACAATGGTTTCCACGGATCATTAAAAATTATTTCATAATTATTTTGGGATTTTTTTCATAAATTTTTATAATTTTTATAAAATTTTTTATTTTTCGGTGTAACACTAAAAAGGTGGGTTTTATGGCCACATGTAAAAGCATCCACAGTGTGTGGGGTCCTCAGGTGGCCAGGGAGAGCGTTCCACAGCCTGGGAGCAGCTAGAAAAGAAAGCCCGATCTCCCACGGAGGTTATGCGTTGAGGTCTGTGGGGTGAGAAGTTCCTTAAAGGTGACCGTTTGGACAGATGATCACTGCTTTTTTGCTCTTTTGGTCACATAACTCCTTCACTGTGCGGTGTCTGCACCATCTTTGTCATTAGTCGCTGCTGTCAGGTAGTGACAGTCTACGGCGACAGCGGGCTGATGTGACAGCAAATCCCATAATGCCTTTTCTCCATGTAAAGCATTCTGGTTTCTATCTGCCTCTTCTGAGGCCTTTCTTTTCTTCTCTTACACAGGGTTCCTGCGGGTCCTTAAAAAGTCTTAAAAGGCATTGAATTCTTCAAAATAAAACTAAGGCCTTAATTGGTATTAAAATGTCTTGAATCAGTCTTTTGTAGGTCTTAATTTTTAAAACATCATGAATAGGATTATTTTTATTACGATTTACTTTTGTAATCCAAATAAAATATTAAAATTGAAAACATTATTTTTTTATTTTAAAAAATCCTGATAGCGGAACCAATAAAAGCGTTGTTGCGGCCGGGACATTTGGGAGATGCGCCATTTACTTTTTGTTCTGGAAAATATGAGCAAGTGTAAATGTAATGAAAATTGTCTCCAGCCAAGAGTTTTCTCCATGGCTTAAACCAGGGAACATACATGAGGCTCAGTGGATTTTGTGCAAGAAGCGATCCAAGCTCGGAACAATGGGAATTAAGGCAGTGGAGTCGCACATGCGATGCGCGAAACACAAAGCGTCAAAATGGAGTTACAGAGAAACAGCCGGTCAGTTTAGTTCCACCCTTGTCTCTGCAACGCCTCCACTTATCACCAAATCAAACATACTAAGAAAACGATACAAAGAAAAATAGCTGCAAAAAGACTTAGCACTGGTTATGTTGGGGCTTTAAAACTGATTTGTTTTTTGTTCCCTGCTAAAACAAAGTTTGTGAATTCAGTTAAATAATTGTTAAAATATATCTGTCATTTGTGTGTTTTTAGCTTTCTTCCTGTATGGGAAGCTTTTTAAAATTTGAAACATTAGTGCAGTGGTTTATATTAAAATAAACCTTTGGGTTAAGTTGTTGCAAGCAGGTTTTTCTTGTGTTTCTTGTGAATTTGGTCTTAAATTTTTATTTGAAGTGGCATTAAAAAGTCTTGAATTTAATATGCTGTAGGAACCCTGTTACACTTCATAGACACCTTTTCCTCTTATGACCCTTGGCCATTTTCAAAGACCCGCCGAGAGAAAGGTGAGCTTAAATGACTGTCTGAAACCGTAGCTCATCGCAGAAATAGGCCTGAAAGTGCGCATGCGCAGAAAATATAGCTAACGAGACGAACACGTAGGACGGCCTGACGTAAACATATCACCAGAATGATTGACAATTAGAAGGACCACTTATTTAGGTGATCCACCTGGAGATAAAAGATTGTCCTCTATAGCTTTAATAATTCATTAAAAAAGTTAAAAGTAAACCAGCCTGAACTAAAATATTGTTCAGCAACAATTTGAGGCAATAATCAGTGAAATCAGGTGTTTTCTGTAACCTTCAGGAAACCTTCAGCTTTCTGCTCCTGTTGGCAGATATGTTGGTTTACTCTTCATCAGCAACTTTTGTCCAAGACAGTTTGTTTTCTAGAAGGATAATTTTTTTATCTAAAAATTCAAAATCAATATTTTATTTTACTAAATTATCTTTCAGTAAATGTATATTTATTCTTGTTTTTTTTTCAGTTTTGTATTTAAATTAAAAGTGTGAATATCTAATTTTCTTTATTGGGAGGGTATGTTAAACTTCAAGCACAAATCTATATGTGCAAAGTGTTTAAAACTTGTTAAGTCTGTTATCTTTATTAGGGTCACAGAAAGCAAACCGGTGAGGTGGTGCAGAAAAATGATCCTCCTTTGTTCTCTTTCTGTTCAGATCCTTTTTTAGTTTTCTAATCAGTTAAATGTAGCTCCTTAAAATGCAGCATCAGAGATCTGATGGCCTAAAATGAGTCAGTCTGTGATGTATCCTCTGCTTTTAAGCAACCCCAAGCTCTGTTATAGAATAAAAACTAAAGCCTAGTGTTTGGTTCTGTTTGACTTTATGGATAAATTCTCTAATAAACACTAAATAAATGCCTCTGTGACTTTTTTTCTTAAATTTTTCTCTAATTGCAGCTGATATAAATAAAGTTATGCACGCCAAGAAGAAACGCCTGGAGTGTTTGACAAAGAACTACATGAAGGGAAGCCAGCACAAACTAGAGCAGCTTTGGACCAGCTACCATGGACAGAGGTTCTTTCTATTTTCTGAATAGTTCCCCATGTCCCCTGAAGGACAATTAAAAGCCCTTCTGATGGTGTTCACCTAAGTTTTATTTTTTGTCGGATCCCTCAGTAGTTGAATCATTTTCAGCTCCAGGTCTGATGTTTTTTTTCCATGTTGGTTTTCATTGTATTTCGTTGATCTAACACAGGTTCATCCTGAAACATTGAAAAGGTCATCTGATGTATTTTCTATTGATAGTGATCAGGTGCATATCAATGGTGTTTTATTGTCTCGGGCTGGAAACTGATTCTAGTTTCAATAATCAATTAAATTCCGATTCTCAAGATTTAGAATAAATTTTTTCTGATCTCATTTGATTTAAAGTCGTAGGGAAGTCATATTTAAATGTTAGATCATTCTGGCTTAAACATGTATATAAATGTACTCTTTATCAAATCATATTGTCCCAAAATTTTGAAAATTTCTATTTAAAAAAAAACCCTGTCTTAAAGGAATAGTACACCCAAAACATGATTAGCCTTCATTCTCTACTCAACCCCATGCTGAACAACACTCTGGAGTACTTTTTTGATATCTCAAATGCATCTGGAGATCTGGGAGGCTTCTTGCTGTCTGCTGACATTCAAATAATGGAGGTCTGTGGCGCCCGAGGCAGAAAGGTCCATAAAAGTCCACAAAAAACGTGTCAATATTCCTCCATACTGCTCGTCCAATGTATTCCAAGTGTCCTGAGTGGGTAGCATCCAGAATTTACTCGAAACGAAGTCGTTTAGAATGTTTTTAGAGCATAAACAGTAGTGTATAGGATTTCCTAAAAGCGAGCGCCTGCGAGTTCACGAGTCTACGGAAACTGCGGCAGACCAAACCAGATGAAAGTGTGCATTCAGCGTCTGCTCTGCCAATAATGCAAGCGTAGAAGAAGAAATGTGCTGTTTACCTGTGCAAAGAAAGAAACAACGAAAGAAAAATGTCTGAGGACTTCAGTGTTGAGGAAGAGCATGAGTTCTTTGCCGAGCTGAATGCGCACTTTCATCTGGTTTGGTCTGCCGCGGTTTCCGTAGACTCGTGAACGCGCTTTTAGGAAATCCTATACACTACTGTTTAGGCTCTAAAAACATTCTAAATGACTTTGTTTCGAGTAAATTCTGGGCGCTACCCACTCAGGACACTTGGAATACATTGGACGAGCAGTATGGAGGAATATTGACACGTTTTTTGTGGACTTTTATGGACCTTTCTGCCTCGGGCGCCATAGACCTCCATTATTTGAATGTCAGCAGACAGCAAGAAGCCTCCCAGATCTCCAGATGCATTTGAGATATCAAAAAAGTACTCCAGAGTGTTGTTCAGCATGGGGGTGAGTAGAAAATGAAGGCTAATCATGTTTTGGGTGTACTATTCCTTTAATATCTGTTTTTTTCCCACATTATCTCATGCAGGCCAGTTAGTTATTCCTCAGCCTGAACACCTAAATTCGGCCAATCATATATCAAGGATCATCTGTCAATCAAAAGTTTTCCATCATAGCATCTTGATTCTTATGTCGCAGCTAATATGCGCAACGGTTGAAATAAGAATCATTTCCTTTCCCATTGAGTTGCGTCCCAGTGTTCACGGGGATGGACGTCTGTGTCTTCGGCAGGCGTAGAGCTAACAGAACTGGCAGCGTTGCGAGGCGAGGGCTCAAACATGTACGGCTGGAAGCCTTCTACACCAAACCAAGCTTCTGCCGCCCTGGCGTCCTCTTCCACAACATCTTCGTCCCCGCTTTCCTCCTCTAAATAAAAAATGTATGACGGAGGAGACTCATCCACGACTTCCGACACTAAACTCTCCTCCTCTTGCATGTTTCCTCTGTTCATAGCGTTCCTTGACAGTGACGTTTTTGAGTCACCAATTTAGTTCTACTTGGTCCCAATGGAATTTCCCATTGGGAACCTACCAGCACCAAGTTTCTAACTGGTTAGCAAGATGGTTCCGAGACACCGACCACAACCAAACTGGCTTGCAAATCTTCCACCACAACAATCCCGCCCCCTTGATAATCGACCAATTGCATTCACTTTATTTGGGTAAAGTCGTGCACCGCACGGGAGAATTTCGAAATGCAACGGTTGGAACAGCCGCTTCCCTACAACTTTAAAATCGGATAATTGGAACCTAAAACATTTTTAGCCATTACCTGAATTACTTGACTGAGTCGTTCTGCAGTATATTGATACTGGAATTATATTTACATTCAACAGAAAATGAATAAAATGATAATAGTTACTGAAAGCTGAATGAACAGGAAGAGGCTTTTTGTTGTAAAGACAGGCTCTGTGTATGCACCCTAATGCTCTATCTCTCCGGTTATTTTCCCTGAAAAGAGATCACTCAGTACAAACTCTTTAAATAACACTTCCTAACTTGTATGCATTAAATAACCAGGAGACATGACAACATATTCTGATAGAAATTGTAATCTTACTCAGATCAGAGAAATAGCTTAGAATTACAGAAGGTAGCTGCTCACCTCTCAGGAAGTGGCCCCGATTAACAGTTAAAAAGGCATTTTATACATCTCCAGTCTACATCATCTTATTTTACATCATACATGTTAGCAGATGATTAGACCAAAATATATTATATATAATATAGATCAAAATAGGACAACGCTCTCATTCCATTTCCAAATCTTTGCCACATACAAATTAAGATTATAACTGTATATCCAGACAGAGGAACTGTCTTAATTAGATTAAAACGTCAGTTCTAGAGCAACAGACAGCCAATACCAGGGTGTGATAAACTCACACATCTTCAATGACAATTAACCTAACATTGTAAAAATCGATCCTTGGTTAAAAGAATCAGTCTTTAGGAGTTAATATGAGAATCAATTCAAATGTTTTTTAACACCTCTTTGTGCAGGAAGAAGACGACTCAGCAGTACCAGCAGCAGGTCTCCTGTGCACTGCAGCAGTGGGAGGCTGAGGCTCAGCGAGCTGAGGAGCAGGAGGAGAAGCTCAATGTTAGTTTTTTCTCACTTGGTCAAAAATATCCCAGGATGGTTTTATGAAATGTATACAACGCAGACATAGGGGACGGGAGTCAACATCTCCACGCCATGCATTTGTTCTGCCTAGCCACTGAGTCCAATCTGAACAATTTAACAAATGAGACTCGCCTAATGTAGTGGCTGGGCGGAACAAATATCTGGTATGGAGATGACTTGTACTCGGTATCTCTGACACAGTTTAATTGTAAAACACGTCAAATTAATTTTTTTGGCTTCAAACTTCTGGTCCTGTTATGGCTACTTCAGATTCATCAGAAGTAGTGTTGGGGGGGGAAAATTCTCTCAAGTTTATGGTCTTTTTTTATTTATTTTTTTCCCCAATACTAATATTTTTTCAGCAAGTTGTTTGTTAAAAAGAAAAATCTAAACCTGAAGAAGTCTTCTCCCCCCCCAGAACACTGGCCCAAATTTAGCTCCATATGGGTAGGCCCCCCTTTTTTAAAATTTTTTTTAAATGTTTTATTCATAGTCTGTCTCAGTTTGCTATAAACTCAACCTCTGTTATCAAACCGATCAAACCTGGCTGGTTTATTTTACCATTCAGAGACTATCTTCTCAAAGCGGATATGTTTTACTTTGCCTTTTCTGCGTTTCGCACTTCCTGTCAGGATCATAACATTGCCGTCTGCGTAGATCCGACCCAAACAGACTCCACCCAGGCCGACCTCAGTCAGAACTTAGCAGCAGGGCTGCAGAGAATCTGAGCAGCCCCTGCATCTTAATCATGACCTCATTCAATATGATTTTACATCGGACACCAAATCCGGGCTTTTACTTTGAAAAAAACAAAAACTAACTCATATTTGGTTTCACTGCAGCAGGGCTGATGGCACCCTCACAGCTCTTTTTGTCATCCCAGCAGCTTTGTTGTTGTCTAGCGCCCCTTTCAACATGGCAGCAATTACTTTTTACATTTTCTTTGAGCAGCTGGTCGATCTGTTTCAAACTAAGAATATTTTCAGTTGCACTATTGAAAAACTAGGTGACATGTGACCAGATCTTTGCATTTTGGAGCCGAATCCAGCTACTGCTTCCTCCGAAGGCCAGATTCATAGCGCGGCGCCAAGGCCTGTTGGAGGACTCCTTGTTATGCGGCCGACAAATGCCTCCTTCTTTTTGCCTGTTTTAAAGGACATGTGTATCCTATGTAGTCTTGGGTATCCTGTGATTCATTGCGAGTCCAAGCAAGCCGGATGCACAGTGCTCAGAGGAAAACTAAAAATACTGCAGAACTTTGGTGAATATTTTAAGTGCAGTTTAATATAATACAATTACGTGAATAGTTCCATCTGAAATTAATGAGAATAGATGTAATAAACGGTTATTGAGTCAGATATGAGGTGGGTAATGTTTGGTTTATTGAAAGGTTTTTATCTGTGTAAGTGGGTTTGGCTGACATTTCAGCTCAGATTCCAATAACTTTGCAGTGTGATGACTATAAATCTGATGTCCCTGATGACGGTACTGCTGGTGAAACTGCTCAGAAATGTTATGGCACCCAGAACGAGAAGTTCGGCATCCATTTTTTTTTCTTGTTTTGTGTGTCAACACTCACAGTTGCTAGGCAACAGAGCGTGTAGGTGGTGAAAGCCGGGGAAGGCTGGACCTGTTTTAATCTATAGCCGAAGTTTCTGGGCCTCCTTATTTTTATGGACCTCCAAGGACCCGGTATAGATAGACCGAGTCCTTGGAGGATGCAGCCTCTGAAACCCCTACACAGACTTTAACCGTGGATCATGTTCAGCTGAGACACAGCAGATGGAGCTTTTTCTACATCATTTCAAACATAAACGTGGTGTCGGTCCAGCGTATTAGGTTGTTTTTAAATATGTCTACTTCACCAGTAATGCATCTCTTTCCTGTGTGGTCATGAACTCCAGCAGATTGCATTGCTCTCCATGGTTCCCGTTCAGCCAGTAGGAAGTAGGACAGAATGATGTTTGTAAGAACTTTCCATCGGTTCTGCTAAGAAAGACCAGAGATGCAAAGAATATCCAAGAAAACCTAAACAGAGCAACATATCTTTTGAGGTGTTTGTAGAAAATGTGTTTGAAAATTGCATCTAGGCTTCTCTCCATTATGTGGATAATTTTATTGCGCCAGAAAACAAAGTTGGCTTGTTTCAACAAAACCCTCTGATTTCTGCTTCCTGTGTTCACAGAATTTGTTCCGGCAGCAGCTGAAAATCCTGCAGCAGGCCCGAGCTGTGCAGAACCAGAAGCTGAAAGCTGTCAGAGAGCTGTACGAGCGGTTTCTGCAGGTGGGTCGTTTCATGTTTACAAAACAATCTTCATCTAATGGGATTTTATTTCATAAGTAGATCAGAGTTGCTTGCAAAATATTTTCTTCCGGTTAAGTCAGGTAGGAGAACTTATGCCAGCCTTTTCAAGGATTAAGATGGAGAGAAAAGACCCACCTTTATCTCGTTTCACCGTTTCAAACCGGAGTCAGTCAAGCTTCCCTTTACGGCTCCAAGTTGTCCACAATGCTGCATACAGAAATGTTGCATAAAGCAACAGAGGAAAGGAAGAACTCCCTTTTACCAGAAAGAAACCTCCAGTAGAGCCAAGCTTAGAGAACCACGTCCTACTGGTGGTCTGAGAGGCACTGATGCAGGGATAGCTTTCATGTTGATAGCAGCTGCTGGATTAATGACTTTAGTTTAGGAGAACAATTAGCTCAGACACCGTGAGTCAGGTTTTAATTTAAAGAGAAGTTAGTGGAACCGGTATCTCAGCTGATGGTTCCTCAGGGAGACAGTCTGAGTCAAACAGAATCTTTGGTCTGAATGCAGCTTCTATGGAGAGAAAATAATGTATGAATGAGTAGAAAGTAGCACTGAGACGGATAGCAGCATAGAGATAGATCATAGGGCTGAAGGATTTATCAATAAAAGTTATTAAGATTTATAAGCCATTCAGCCCTAATAGGTCAGGATAACCTGAGCCTCTAACTAGTAGCATCACCAAACAGGAAGTGGATTAGAACTCGACAATGGGGGCGTGCAGGTGGCGCAATGGTTAGTGTGCATGACCCATGTACAGAGGCCTTAGTCCTCAATGCAGCCGACCCGGGTTTTTTGATCCTTTGCTTCCTCTTCCCCTCTCTCATACCCTCTTTCCTGTCAGCCTACTGTCAGAAAAAACGAGCCACTAGTGCCGTAAAAACTCAAAAAAATAAAAACCAATAAACTGGATGTTGGTTCTAGGAGGCTGATCATTAACAGATCTGCTTCCTGTTCTCCTCCTGTCGATTACGATTGGCTTTCCATGAAAGAAGGTACATTATTTAGATTTTTTTCTGGGTTAAGCTGAAAGCCAGTAAAAAATTGGTCAAGGCCTGAAAATATGATCTCCTCTTAATTCTGATCAGAACTTCAGTGTTTTAAATTCTTTTTAGTGAATTTCTGCTGTGTTCTAGTTAATGAATATTTTAATGATCATTTTATTGGTTAATAAATGAAATTAAAGTGACAGATGATGAACATCAACTGGCTAAAGAAGAGCTTAAAGTCGGTGTGTGACTGGAATGAACCTTGGAACGTTTGTCTGAGAGGAAATCCTCTGGGAATTAGAAAGAAAAGATTCAATTTTCTCCTCTTGCCTTCAGAACATGGAGGAGGTGGAGAAGAGCCACGAGATGTTTCTGCAGGGAACGCAGCAGGAGCTGAGGAAGGAGATGGCCACCCTGCAGAAGAAGATTCTCATGGACACAGTGAGTTCAGTCCATTTGGGGTTTAAACCATTTTGGTTTCTGAAATGTTGTAATATGCAAAATTATGTATGATTTAAAAATAAGCCCAAGATCTATGGGGGAAGATCAGTACTACAAAACAGTAGTTACATAAGTTATCAAATAATTCATTAAATGTTTCATTCATTTATTAAAACAGGAAATAAATAGAGAATGATTTTATTAAAAAAAGGAGGCGGGCCGCCTTCATAGAAACCCTGATTTCTGATTGGCTGCTTTTCTTTGACTCCAAAGTCAATATAATAAAAGATGGAACTGACTTTGATGAGGTGTTGCTATTGATTTGCTGCATTCTGGATGAGCAGCTCCAGTCTCTTTGTCCTGCAGCAGGATCAAAGTTAGCCCCACCCGCCTGTTCATGTTATCACATTAACTTTTAAAATACACCACCCCTCCAGAAAAATCCTGATAAAGCCGGGTATATACTGTTCAATTTTTTTCAGCCGTTGCACGCAGCTACAGCTCGCACTGTACGAAGAAATTGCAGGGTTTCGTCTTACAGTAAGACCAATGCTTTATAACGATAGCATTTTTCTTTGTGTCACTGTGCAGATTAGCTGCCAAAGCACCACTTAGTGTGAACTTTGAGCAGAAGCCATTGCGTTCTTTTTACATGGGGGTCGGCAACCCGTGGCTCCGGAGCCGAATGTGGATCTTTAGCGTCCCCACCTTTCGGCTCCCTGGAGCTTTTTAAAAATTTATGAAAATCGATTTTTTTTTTATTTTTTTTTTTTTTTTATATGGTGTGCAGGAGGTCGAACAAAAATGAATTATGTTTTCCAATGCTGTAAACATTTGTATAATAAATATACTAAAAAGTTTATTTGCGTCATAGCCATAGAGATCAGCTGTCATAACTTGTAACCAGCGAGGCGCGGTGCCAGGCAAAGGAAGATAGCTGATGAGAAAAGAGGATTCAAAGAATGGACTGTATTGCTTTTTTTTTTGTTGCTTTTTGTTGCGATTGCAGAACTTCCGTATAAATTAGAGGAGAGCAAAGTTAGATTTAAGAAGTAGATTGCATTTCCAAACTCCACTACTGCTGCTAGTTTGGTTGCAAGGATGAAAAACTGTCCACAGGTCGAACAGGTAACGCTCTGATGCAGGGATGGGAACTTTCATCCATTTTTTTCCACAAATTGTAAAAATATAAATCACACCAAGGAACGATGGTGACGGAGGATGTGGGATTTGATGGTTGGATGGATGTCAGTTCCTGCCTGGTTCCTCATGACTCAATCAACTCCTCCCAAGAGAAACACGTCCACCATAGAGAGATTCCTTTAACGTCTTTCTATAATTTCATCAATACAACAAAACCTAAACTGCACAGTGAAGCAGCGCGGTGAGAGTGTTCACTGCTCCTCCCTCACCTTATGCTGCTGTGTGACATTTGCTCCAGGATAAACATTTAATCATGAATGCTTATTATATATTTAAGCCCATGTAGTCCTTTTCTATAGCGGTATAATACATTTAGCCATATGAGGCTTAAAGGAATAGTACACCCAAAACATGATTAGCCTTCATTTTCTACTCACCCCCATGCTGAACAACACTCTGGAGTACTTTTTTGATATCTCAAATGCATCTGGAGATCTGGGAGGCTTCTTGCTGTCTGCTGACATTCAAATAATGGAGGTCTATGGCGCCCGAGGCAGAAAGGTCCATAAAAGTCCACAAAAAACGTGTCAATATTCCTCCATACTGCTCGTCCAATGTATTCCAAGTGTCCTGAGTGGTTAGCATCCAGAATTTACTCGAAACAAAGTCATTTAGAATGTTTTTAGAGCATAAACAGTGTTTCATTGTTTCTTTCTTTGCACAGGTAAACGGCACATTTCTTCTTCTACGCTTGCATTATCGGCAGAGCAGACGCTGAATGCGCACTTTCATCTGGTTTGGTCTGCCGGCTTCCGTAGCGTCATGAACGCGCCGGCGCGCGCTTTCAGGAAATCCTATACACTACTGTTTATGCTCTAAAAACATTCTAAATGACTTCGTTTCGAGTAAATTATGGACGCTACCCACTCAGGACACTTGGAATACATTGGACGAGCAGTATGGATGAATATTGACAGGTTTTTTGTGGACTTTTATGGACCTTTCTGTCTCGGGCGCCATAGACCTCCATTATTTGAATGTCAGCAGACAGCAAGAAGCCTCCCAGATCTCCAGATGCATTTGAGATATCAAAAAAGTACTCCAGAGTGTTGTTCAGCATGGGGGTGAGTAGAAAATGAAGGCTAATCATGTTTTGGGTGTACTATTCCTTTAAATAAATAGACTTTTACATTTTTGTGGCTCCAGACAGATTTATTTATTTTTATTTTTTTGCTTCCAATATGACTCTTTGAGCAGTTTGGGTTGAAAGCAAGCAGTCAAGGTAGGGTGCGCCAAAGAAAAGAAGTTCCAGAGAAAAAAAACCCCACAGACATTGAGCCGATTTAAACAAAATGCTGTGATGCGGATGCCCTGTTGAATCAACATGCATTTAGAGGGAGGTGTGTTTCCTCAAAAAGCTTTTGTTGTTCTGGAAAACTAATAGAGAGTCAGTATGTTGGGGGGGAGTAGGAGATCAGTAGATGAAATGATTGGACCTCTTATGTTCTGATGCCACATTGTTGTTTGTTTCCACAGCAGCAGCAGGAAATGGCCACGGTCCGCAAGTCTCTGCAGTCCATGCTTTTCTGATCTGCTGTCATCACCATGACAGTTCTCTTGTTTTGGATGTTATTGCTGCAACTTTATTCGTTCTTACAGTAGCAGTTAAAATTCACTTCTCAACTTTAGTTTTTGTTTGGAAAATAGGAAAATAGATATTTAAGGTCTGTTCCAGCTCTGATAATTCGTTTCAGTTGCTACAGGGAGTGCTGTTCCTTTCTTCATTCAGCTTGTTAAAGATTGACTCACTTGAGTCACTGAGTTTAATGTGAAAATAAACATGTTTCAGTCGAATTTGCTGTGAGGTTTTATTTCTATTTGTAAACATAGTGGTTATCTGTAAGATTACACCTCATGATTCAAAAGCAGTTTTTGATAAAACATGGATCCAGATGTGTTTTAACTAAATTCAATGTAAAGTGGGCTTTGTTCTTTTGAAAAATTTGTCTTTTTTCACAGATGACTTAAGTTGAAATAAATTTGCATTTTCTGAAACTTCTTATCTTGATGGGCTTTTATTTTTGGTGAAACAATTAGAAAATAGTTTTCAAGTGATTTTTTTTTTTTATACGATCGCCCGGACCTTTGCACTGGAAGAACAATCTAGAAAAAAGTGAAAATGTCTTAAATTAAGTGTATGTACCCTTAATTTGAGTAGGTAAATGAGATGGAATGAGTATTTTTACTCTTAAAATAATTATATAAAACGCACTTGAAATAAGAAAATCCAATTGTGTTTTCTTATTCTAAGTGTAAATTGTCTTGTTCCAAAATGTCTCTTTAACCTCCTCAATTTAAGAACAAATGCACTTATTTTAAAAATAAAATGACATCTAGATTTTGATTTTTTTTTTTCCACTGTGTAATTACCAGGGACAATGTGGCTTTCCGTGATTCGCAAGCAACAACAACATGGTTTGAAGTTCAAACACTAAGCCTCTTCCTTCCACCCTATTCACCTCTCCTCAACCCCATACAGGAGTTATTTTCAGCATGGAGGTGGAAGGTTTCTGACCATCAGCCACGTGACCAGATGTCCCTGCTTGAAGCCACGGATGCTGGCTGCAGGGACATCACAGATCAGGATTGTCAAGGGTGGATCCGACATATCGAGCATTTGTTTTGTTTTTTTAAACCAGGGTTTATTTTATTTTGAGTGTACACATGTGTAATACAGATTCTGGAATAGGTACTGTAGTTATCATCACCCACCTGCCCCGTAGTCCCGCCCGGTCCGGCGTCAGTCAGGAGATGGATATAACCCAGAGTAGAATAAGAAGAAAAAGTATAAAAATAATGATATTAAATAAATAAATTAAGATAGCTTAAAAAGGGGAGGGGGTTAGTGTTAAAGTTTAATTTATATCAACAACGAATCAATTGAGCATCTAATTTCTCCACAAAGATATAAATGGTTCCTAAGTTGAATTAAATTTAGATATAGATCCTCTCATAGTGTATCTAATCTTTTCTAGTTTTATCCCAGGTGCATTACCTTGGATAATATCAGATGTGATGTTGACAAAAACATGTGGCCTAACCCTGAAGATCGCAGAGATTACATACAGCAATGTTTGGCTTTTTATTTTTTTAGTTCCCCCAATATTTATCTGGATTTGTTGCAGTTGTTTTTTTGTTCACAATGATCTTGTGTGTTGCATGGATATGTTGTTCACTGTGAGAAATGCTGTAAAACCTTTTTTTCTGTTCTATCAAACCGTGTTTCTACTCTACCTCTAAAAAAAACAAAAAACGGATTCGCTTTTTACTGGAATGCTTTGAATGTGAACATTACTATATATTTGGACACACATTACCACCCAGCAAATTTAGTATAAAAACAGTGGAATACGTGTTTTGCATGCAAATACCTGTAAAACTGAAACATAAATGTAGTTTTTCTAATGTCAACAACAGCCAGTATTTTGAAACCTGGTTTACTTTGATTGACTGCATGTACTTTGGGAAGTGAAAACAAATGTGATTTTTTTAAAGAATAATTTCGTTTTGAGTCAGATTTCCAGTGTTTTGGTAAAGATAGTGTGTGCAGAAAAAATATGTGTTCTATTTTGAAATGAAGAGTTAGTATATATTTAAGAAAATGTGTTTTTTGAGAAGAAAATAATCCATATGGCCATTTGTGTTTTGTAGGTGTGAGTCTGGGTGAAGAGTTTGGGAAAAGTATCTGAAGTATGGGTAAGCGCTTCTTAGCGATTAAAAAAACTGTAGTTGGTGTAAATAATTGTTTGTTTTAGAGTAATTCAGTCCTTAGAGCGTTTTATTAATAAATAATTGCAGATTTAGTAGAAAACTACAAAAGAGATTTAGGGCCACTGGAAAAATAAGAAAAGTTAACAAATTTTTAGATTTTATTTCAGTTTAAAATGGGAAAATGGTCAGAATTCTGACTTTTTGCTCAGAATTCAGACTTTAATCTCAGATTTCTGACTTTATTTTAAGAATCTGACTTTAAACTCAGAATTTTGACTTTAATCTCAGATTTCTGACTTTTTGCTCAGAATTCAGACTTTTTTTCCCATAATAAACTGAAATAAAAATTTTAAATCAATTAACTTTTTTATTTTTTTCAGTGGCCCTCGTCCTCTTCCGTAGTAAACAGCAAGGTAGTGTTTGTTTTCTTCTTGTTTTTTTTTAAATGTTTCATATCGAAACCCTTATTGTGAAGGGGGATTTTTCGGGACTTTCTATATCTCTTACCGGAAGGGACCAACCTTATTTTGAAAGTCTCTCTGTTGTGAGCTAAACGGCGGTCTCCTGGCTGTGTGTAAGCTAACAAACCGAAAAGAGCAGAACTTTAAGGTAAAATCCTCTTTATTTCTCCCATTGTTTGCAGCAGCGGTGAGATCAGTAATACTTAATTGATCTTTGAGGTTTTAATTGGCCACTTTATCTAGAATCATTATTAGCTTTGTTAGCTAACAGTAAGGCTACCTTTAGTTCAGCTTGAAATATTTTCCTGTTAGATTTAACAGTGATGTCCGAGGCTTTAGATCATCTGATAATCCAGGATTTATTCCGGATTAAGACTGTTTCTTTTCTACAGGCGGCTTGAACTTCATCATCATCACGGTCAGGCTGATATGAGCCTCGATCAGAGGTGATTGGTCAATTTGGGGACTGGTTTGTTTGTTGCTACTGGATCACGTGATGGCTGAGGGGTATCCTGCCAGCCCCGGGTCTTCAGAACCGGACAGTCCCGACGGTCTGAACCGAGGATGTTTGCTGGATCCCGAAGAGGCCCTCCTCCATGATCTGTCCATCATCGTCCCAGAAACCCCCAGGTACACACTTTTCCACACCTGTGGAGGCACCAGAACCCTGACCAGACTCACACCTGCTTGGTTTCACTTTCTCCAGCTGGAGTCAGCTTCCTTTGGACCCATTTCCATCAGCAGCTGCTTCTGGGTCACAAATCTGTGGTTCAGATCACTGACTCTATACTCATCTTTTAACCTGTCATTTCTTCCTGTTGAAGCTCTTGTATTAAGAACAGAACAATCAGAACCATTTTTATTGGATCATTAGGCGCTCAGTTCCTAGCAGCCTCTCACAAAAACTGTTGTTTTTATATTCCTTAGTCTAAAATCTCAAATATCATAGATCTTGACAGAATATGGAAGCTGTCAGCTGAAATCTCGGGCCTGAAAGCCGAACCAAGAGGAGGGTTCTGGAGGAGCTGATCCAGCTCTAAGGTTCCATCAGCTCTCTCATGGAATTCTCTTTTTCAGGTTACCTTCCAGCTTTTGTTTAATAATTAATAGTTTTAGTTATTCACATCCTTAAACATGAACCGACAGCTTCACAGCATCTATTTCCATCACACAGAATGAACAGATTTTATACGTATGGATCTCCACTGTCACTACGAGCATGCTTAGTGTGACGGATTGCATTCAAGTCAATGAGTCGATCCAATCAGCTGGTTTTCCTTAGATAGAAAACTTTGAATCAATCTGACTGGATGATCTGGTGAACTGTAAAGTGCCTTGAGACGACATGTTGTGAATTGGGGCTACAGAAATAAACTGAATAGAATTGAAATTCCAGACAACTAGAGAAGAAGATGATTCCGCCTCAGGAAACCCTTCTTAGGATGTTCAGGGCAGAGACGGTCGATGTGGACCCAATCAAGTCATTTCCGTGTCGTGTTTGTTCTGTCCAGCCTCTGAATCAACCAACTCATGACATAAAGATGACTTCATGGCTCTGTTCCCTCCTCTGATTCTTTTGTGTTAAGACTATTTTTGGTCCCTTCTCCTGCTGGCTTCCTGGGAACCCTCATATGATTGGAACCAGGAAGTAACAAAGTAGTTCCTTACTGTTGTGTTGTGAATTGGCGCTATATAAATAAACTGAATTGAATTGAATCACAGTGACAAAAAGGAGGATATATGAAATCACGTTAATTTTTCCACCAATAAAAACATCTCAGGTCTCTATTCATTGATCTCATTCAGTGAAACTTCCCCCGGCTTTCTCAAAACATTATTTTCACTTTCATCTTTACAGTGACTTTATTCTAAGCACGTCTTCTTTCCACCTGGTGAATTCTGGAGGAGATGGATCGTCTCTTCAGCGCTTTAAAGGAGAGACTGACCCAGAGCCATGCAGATATTTATTTCCTTTTAGATTCCACCTTGTTTGTCTGGGATGCAGAGAGGATTTGTTGAGGAATGATGCAATTAAAACATTTCCATCTCATCTCAACATGTCTAACCAAACCCTTGGTTCTGTCTGCTTCTCTTTCAGCCCAAAGCTCGGCAAACGGAGGCGACCGCGGCGTACGACCGAGGACCACTACAGCCCGGTGAGTCCGCCGGTCTCTTATGAACCGTTTCTTGCTGGGTCGGCGCTCTCTGTGGGCTCACTCTGTGTTTCTGGATCTCAGGTGATTGATGACTCTCCCAGACCAGAGAAGTCCAAAAAGGGGGATCAGCGTTTTCTCCGTAAATCCAAACGGCGGCGGGTGGTGGACCCGAACGTCAGCTTCGTTCCGGCGTCGACTCTCCAGACTTTCCCTCTGGGCAGCTGGCTGCAGGCCCCATCATCATCATCATCATCCTCCTCCTCATCATCATCATCCTCTTCTACCTCGTCTTCATCGTCTACCTCCTGCCTCACGCCGGACTCGGCTCTCAGGTCAAAGCTGAATCACACGGCATCATCAGCGTCTCCCTCTGCAGCGGCGTCATCGAGCTCCGGCTCGCTGTCCTTCCTCACCGACGAGGAGAGGAGATGGTTGAACGAAGGACAGGGAGACGCCTCACCAGGTCAGGACATCCAACCGCAGCCGTGGCTACTGTGCTTTGGTACGTCGCCTCTGATTGGCTGTTTCTGCTGCAGGCGTCCGGGAACAGATTGTCATCAGCGACGATGAGGAGGCCATGGTTCGCTCGTTACAGATGGTGGAAGACGAGGCGCTGGCGCGGAGCCTGCAGGTCAGCGCTGCTTCCTGCCTCAGAGGCTAACGGCTC